CCCATGGAGCCCCCAACCCGGCCTGTGCCCTGGCCAGGAACCCATCCAGGGGCTCTTGGTGCCTGGGACGGCGCTCAGCCACTGAGCCACGAAGGCCGGGCTATCTCCGTCCTTTGAGACAGCAGGTGGCTTCTGCCTCAAAATAAAACTCCAGTGAGGGAAGGACAGCGCAGTGGGGGGGGTCCTCTGGTGGGACAGACCGGGAGAGGGGCGAGAATGTGTCTCTGCCAGGGACAGGAGCCGGCCGGGGCTGGGAGGGGCAACCAGATGGGAAGTGGGTCACGGACAGAAGGAAGCCCGTGCCCTGGGCTCAGCACCCAGGAAGAAGATCCAGGAAATGTGAGCAGCCGGAGCCCCGGCTCTGTAGGCAAGTCAGGAGGTAAAGTAGGCAGTGCCCTTAGAGCTTTCGATTCCTGCTTTTGAACTTGGTAGGGGCTTGCTTGTGAAGCCTCCTTCTGAACTGAAAGAGTTGAGATCGATACAAAGTCTCTCACATAAAACAGCCACCTTGGAACTGAGGCTGTGGAAATTCAGATTGTCTTGTATAAATGTGAGGAAAGTCCCAAGGTTCCGACGTGGAGCATTTCAGAACTCCTCAGGTTTAGGAAGGTAGTATGTATCCTGTGTATAGTTGGAAGTACCCTGTAATCAGATACATCTATTGGTAATTAAATGAGTAGGTATCCTCACTGTGGGATAAGTTTTTACATGGCCCATCAGTTCACGTCAGGTGTTGCTCCAGATAAGTTTACATAAATCATGTTTTGCTGTCATGATTTGGGAAGGAAACACGGGTTTTCATTGTTTTTTGGAATTACAACTATAGCACAAAAGGGGTTGTGGGCAGAGCTGTGGAGCCAGATAGTTCTGTAGTCTTTTAAATATTTCATCTAAGTTATTTAAATTAAAAAGGGGGGTAGGAAACTACTGGGCCGACCCACAGTGTGGGAGACAACGGTCCAATGGGTCTTAGGAGATGTTCCCATGTCCTCCTGCTGTGGCTTCGTGTGCTCTCGCTCCCTCCTGCCAGAATGGATGTACAGGTGGGTCACTGCTGCCTAGCGACGCCCCTCTTCGTGGCTGCATCTTTCTCTCTCTGGACTCACTGCTAGTTTGGTGGATGAGGTGCTGTGTGGGCAGCTTTTGGGAAGGTGGAGACAAGGCCACATAGCTGTCACGTAATTTGAGCGTGACTGGTCATGTGCGTGTGGCTAGATGTAATGCGTCATTTCAGTGGGTCAGCACCTGTTTGCTGGGACTATGTGCTGTGCTCGGCATCAGTGACCATTGATGCACTCAGTGTGGTTCCTGCTCCAGGATTTGTGCTCTCTCTTGGGTCCGGCTGACTGGAGAAGCCTGCAGGCACACCCCACACCAGCTCCGGGCCACCTGTTGGCAGTCCTAGCCCCCACCCTCTGCCTCCTGGCCACTGCTCCTGGAGGGCCCTCCTTTCATGCTCAGGCTGTTGTGATAGGTGAGGCTGCTGGACAGCGGTAAGCACAGGCAGTCCCGGGAGCGTGTGATAGGACTTGACTGCAGGTTTTGGAAATCCCTGGGGTTGGCCTGCTGGACGGAGAGGGTCTGTGTTGAGCCAGGACACCCTCCGCAGGTCTCCATCATGCAGTGCACTTCAAGGGGATTTTAAAAGGCGAGTAGGTGGTCACAACACTCCGACACGTGGTGCGTCCCTTTCCACATCGGAAGTGGGCTTCTTTTTCTGATGTCTTCTCCTCGACCAGCACAGTTTTATGGTCCTTGTCTCCTTGCACTGCCCCGGGCCAAAGGCTTGAGTGTGGAGGCTGCTCTCCCCATTATCTGCCCCACCCCAAGGGTCTGCCTGCACTGAGCCGTCCTTCCATCATCAGAGCACGTGTCTTACTTGAAGTCCTACAGGACAGAAGCCACCCACGGGTGCTGAGCGGATGTTTTCTCTTCTCCAGACCCCAGAGCACAGATGACCAGGGTCTTTGTAGCAGGGGCTTGGGGCTTAAGGTGTGGCCCATGTCTCACTCCCTGATGAATTACCCACCTTTAGGTACCCTCACTTTCAATCCCCTCACTGTCAAGTGGGCGGCTTTGCCATCAGCCCCACTGTGACACACCCACATGACGTAGCAGTAATGGCCCCCACCACAACACGTGCGGCTCTGACTGCTGATGGGCACATTCCCCGGTGCTTCATGTGACAGTGATCCTGATGGTGGCTGAGGTCTGGGCTTGCCAAGGCCACCAACTGGTGAGGTGGAAGCCCACGGAAGGTTGCCTCGCCTGGGCCGCTGTGTCTGAGGAGGAATGGCAGCAGTGTGGCTGTGGCTGTGGCTGTGGCTGTGGCTGTGGCTGTGGCTGTGGCTGCAGAGAGGCCCAGTGGCGGGTCGCACCTTGTGGCTTTGCTAAGGCTACTCTTTGGTCTTAGAGTTTTTTGGTTAAGTCCTTGGGATTTTCTGGCTGGACAGTCATGTCATCTGCAAATAAGAACAGTTGTAGTTGTTCTTTTCTGATTTTTATGGTCTTTGTTTACTTTTCTAGCTTTCTTGCACTAATTAGGGTCTCCAAAAAAATGTATTACAGCACTGAGAGCAGACATCCCTGTCTTGCTCTTGATCTTAGAACAAAGGCACCATCAAGTCTCATGTTAGCTGTGAGTTTTTAGTAGTTCCCATTTCTGAGGTTGAAGCTGCCCCTTTCGACTCCTGGTTTGCCGAGTTTTTATGGTACTGTCTTAAAAGACCGTGACTGGTTTTGCCTGCACACAGATGCCTTCTTGAGTCTACTGAGTGGACCCACTTTCCCACGTTGTGTCTGCAGTGGCTGCTGTTCAGCGTTGAACCAACCTTGCATACTTGGGGTCGGTCCCACCCCAGTCCCACTGTCCTTGTCAGGATTTGCAGAATTCTTTTGCTGGCGTTTCTCTGAGGGTTTTTATGTTTGTGTCAGTGAGTGATTTTGATCCATAGTTGTGTTGTATTCTCTTCTTTGGCTTCAGAAAATGGGCTGGCTTTTTCCTGTTTGGAGAGATTTTGTACAAGATTCTTCTGCTTTATTCCTTAAATACTTGAGAGGGTTCACCAGTGAAACGGCCTGTTTGCTGTTTCTATTTCATATCATCTTTACTTCTTTTCTGCTGTTTTTTCTGTGGACTTACTAATTTTAATTTTTTAACAGCTCATTGAGATAAAAATGGTATACACACTGCACATATATATGAAAAACACTTCCAGTATGTGCAGTACACAGACACCTGTGTGGCCGTTCCTGTAATCAGGGTGGTGAGCATACCTTCACACACCCCCCGTCCTCCCCCCAGGCACCACTGATGGCTTCCTGTTGCTGGACTGGTTTGTGTTTTCTAGTCTTCTGTACATGAGATCATGAATCTGTTCTCTTTACCTGGCGTTTTCCTCAGCATGTTCTCGAGTTGCCCATGTTGCTGCCTGTCAGCAGTCGATCCCCCTGTTTATTGCTGAGTTGTGCTGCATTTGGGGCAGTGGGTTTATCCATTCACCGTGATGGACATGTGGGTTCCCCATTTGGGCACCCACAGTGACGCCATGTGGACGTCCGTGTGCACGTCTTTGTGCCTGGCCATAGAGTCGTGTGTGTTTCACTTCTTAAGAAATTGCCAAGCTGTTCTCCAAAGTGGTCAGGGCGTTTCGCATTCCCACCATGTTGTGTGTGCGACCCGCTGCCCCACACTTGTGATGGTCATTTAGTGAACACTGGATGTCTGATTAGATGTCCAGGATCCCCCATGGTTGCATTTGCGTTTTCCCTTGGCTGGTGAAGTTGGACCTGTTTTCATGAGCTTGCTTACCACCTGCATATATTTGGCAACATGTCTTTTAAAAATTATTGTTGTTATTGAATTTTGCATTTTTTCTTCATTTGTGGATCATATTTCTGTTCTTATATCTAAAAACTCTTTTTCTGATATCCCACAGCCTCCCAAACTCATTTCCTAGTTATAGTAGCTCTTTGGGGGAAGATTTCACAAGATTGTCTCCACAGGTGATCACGTTGTCTGCAAGAAAAAACATTTTTACTTCCTCCTTTCCAATCTGAGTACCTTGTCTTTCTTTTTCTTGCCTGGCTGCCTAGTCTGGGCCTTCCCTATGACACTAAATGGCAGTGGTGAGAACATGTGTCCTGCCTTGTTCTGATCTCAGGGTGAAGTGGAGGCCTCCTGCCGCCGGGCACAGTGTTGCTGCCTGGCTCTCGTGGATGTCCTTTATCAAGCTGAGCAGTTCTCTGGGAGTTTTTAATTTCATGGTGTAACTTTCTGTTACAGGAAGCTAGGAAAAGCTACACGAATTAAACCAAGAAACAATAGAATCACATTGATTTTCATGTGTTCAACCATCTCTTTGTAGTCATGACACATCATCACTCGTCATGCATTGCCGGGTTTGATGTGCTAGCATGTTAATTAGAATTAAGGGTGTGTTAAGAAGTTTTTGGTCTGTGTTCGTGTGTGATGCTACTAGCCTGTTAACGCCCCTCCCTCTTTTCTGCATTTGGGCGGTGCTGTTCGACGTTGGCCATTTGTGCTGTCCCCTCCCACTCTCTCTCTCTGATCAACCTGTGGAGAATTTACTGAGTTCATTTATTCCCAGAGAACTGTCTCTGGCTTTGTTGATTTCCTCGTTTCCCTCATTGGTCTCTGTTCCTGTGTTTATTTCCTTCTTGCCTCGGAAGCAGGATAATTAAAAACTAGTGTTCCATAAATTGGAGCCATCATTTTTGCAGAAAATAAATTGTTGTCCACAAGTCCAGTTTGTATTTACTTAGTAAAGTTGTCTTAATGTTGAATAAAATCATAGTACTGAACTGATGTGTTTATTTTTATAATTTTCAGGAGGGTTTGCGTTCGTGTATGAAGCTCAGGATCTGGGAAGTGGCAGAGAGTATGCATTGAAGGTAAGACAGGGTGACACGTTCTGTGTGGATTATGGTTATTTTAAAGGAAATCTCAGAGTGACCGTGTTTTGAGGAATTTTTCCCTATCAGTGTGTTTCTTTTTGCAGTCTGTGTTCTGTGTGTTTCTTTTGATGGTGAGGAGCCAGCAGCACTTTTAGTGGGCTTTACGGCCTCAGTGTCCCGCTTTGGGGCCTGGGGGCAAGAGTTACCTCGAGTGCCAAGAGTGCACAGCAAGGTTCCACGGGTCACAGGACTGTCACAGCCATTCCAGTAGACCATGTGTGTAGTGTCCCAGAGCAGGATCACGGTGGGACTGTTGAGGGCAGGGCTGTCTGGTTTTGTCGGGAAATGGCCAGTGCCCAGCCTAGGCTGGGAAGTGGAGCGGCTGTTCTGGGCATGCGGCTAAGCTGTAAGGGGCCCACTTTAATTTGGGGACCAGGGCAAGGACCCTCATTTCTGCAGCATCTCCTTTTCTTTCAGTATCTTATTTTACTCCAGCCTATTTGCAGGAGAGACTCCTATGTGTGGTTTTTCTTGTGTCCTTGGACTCTGAAGGACCATTTTCAAGGGTCCTGAAAGGACCAGTTTCTGCATAGGTCAGGTGTTAAGTTCATCGATTCGTCCTGTGGGCGTGGACTCGACAGACCCAGCACTAACCTTGTCTGTGCTTCTTCCCGCTGCAGAGACTGCTGTCCAACGAGGAGGAGAGGAACAGAGCCATCATCCAGGAAGTGTGCTTCATGGTATCCTTTTCCCGACTCGTCTCTAGACCGTTTCTAGTGAAAAGGAGTTTTTCCCTCTCTTCACTCCCAGGGTAGTAGTAAGATGTTCCATGGTTCTGGGAGTGGGGATGTGCGTCCTGCCTCAGAGGTCTCCGTGCTGGGGGTGGACAGACCCTTGATTACCTGCTGCGGCCCATGGTTCCTGGCCATCCCTCTCACCCTGGACAGAGGGCTCCATGCACACATGGTGGACGGTGGGCATTTCTTGCTTGCTCTCCACCTGGCTGGAGCTGCCCCTGAGCTGGGGTCTTGCTCTTCGTTGCCACAATCTGTTCTCTCTTCTCTCTCGAAGCTCTGTCCATGCTGAGCCTGCTGGCCGCTGGGCCCGAGGGTGCTTGCCTTACTGAGGTTCTGTGGATGCCTTCACTGCTCATGGCCTCTCATGCCGTCCCCTCTGCTGCTGTCCTGTGGTCAGGTGTGTGTGGCCAGCATGGTGGTGGTTCCACCCACATGCGCTGTCCCTGCCCCACACCCTTGCCCCCCAGCTCACCCTCATCTCTCTGCTCTGACGCGCTGAGATCAGAAGGTCATTTCATTTGCTGCTGACATTAGTGTTTAAATGTTGTCTGTCCAGGGTGAGCGGAGGTAGGCTGACAGCTGTTCAGGTGGAAAACGGGGCATTGCTCATAAGAATCACGAGAAGGGCGTCTGCCTCGCGCCCGCACAGTTGCAGCCCGACCTTTGCCCTCTGTGTGTGTGTTCCTAACGTGCAGATGTACGCGTTCTCCTTTAACAACATCCGCAGAAAAGGCTTTCTGGTCACCCCAACATTGTCCAGTTCTGCTCTGCGGCGTCCGTAGGCAGGGAGGAGTCGGACACGGGGCAGGCCGAGTTCCTGTTGCTTACCGAGCTCTGCAGAGGTAAAGTCCCCGGGAGACGTGTTGGCTGTGATGGAGAAAGCGGCGCATGTGCCTTTGTTGGTGTGAGCCCGTGTGCTCAGGAAGCGCAGCTCCCTAGTCACTGACAGTAGTGGGGGGACCCGGTGTACTCTGGCGTTCTAGGGGTGGAGAGGGCCTAGAGGAGTCGGGCAAGGCTCTCTCAGTGCGGGGTGGTCCTTGCACCAGGCAGACCTCAGTTGGCAAGGGTGGAGCATTCTGCCCTCCTGGAGCCCATGGGCTCATTGGGTAACTTATGGAGGGAAGGAGGGACACAGGACATGGGAGATCCAGTGTGCCAGAGGCCGGCAGCCTGGTGGGAGCCACCGGTCTGTGACACGGTGCTGTGTCATCAGTCAGTGGGCAGTGCCTGTGGGAGGAGGCCAGGGCCCACCACCACGGTGCCAGGGAGCAGCAGCAGGGACACTGAGGCAGGCATCTCCCTGGGAGGGACAGACGCCTGCCTCACAGACAGGCTCCTTCCCAGGTCCCTGCCACCACAAGAAGGGTTGTCATGGAGAAGAGATTGGGGCAGCAGGTGCAAGCACCTTTGTAGAGAGGAGGAGGAAGTGATGCAATGTGGGAGGCGTGGCAGAGGTGGCAGTAGGCGGGGCAAGGTGAGGAGGAGGGAAGGGCTGTGCTCTCCAGGGGGGGCCTGCTTTCTGCTCTCTCGGAGCTGGCTGGGACGTGCCAGTTCTCTACTCAGGTCTAGCGCCTCGGTTCTTTTAGTTAACGGGTGTTCAATATTACTGCTGTTTTTAAGTAGAAGAGAGCATGTGCTTGTTGGAAAAGCGCTGTGCAGGTGTATACAGAAATGAGTTCCCTAGACATGCTCTGTTTCAGAAAAGTGTGCTGTGCCGAGCATCTTTCTGTGCCCACACATTCACCTGCTCTCTAAGGCTCAATGTCCGCAGCCCTGAACCTCTAGGTCCTTAACCAGTGCCTGCGGGATGCACACCTAGTCCTGTGCACAAGTGTTGGTGCACAGAGTACTGCGTGTCCACGTGGGCTCTGCATCCCTGTGGCTGGATCAGCAGGGGCTTGTTGGGTGGGGGCAAGGGGGGGTGCCATTTGGCCAGCCTGCTCTGCGCACCTCTGGTGGCAGGGATGAGGCCATGCATGCTTCCCATCCACCCAGCGTGCTCTCCTGGTTTTTTCGGCGATATTTTGGTCTGTTGTGTCCTCTGCTCTTGGTGTAGGAGTCCTGGAGGCTTTTGCACCACTCTGTGTTGGGCTTTGTCAGACTGTGGGCTCAGCAGCACCTGTGTGGATCATTTCACAAGTGAGTGTGTGGTGCAGCTCACAGCACTTGCCCCCGTAGGACAGAGTGGCTCCCCGTGACTTGGCAACCTCGTGGAGTAGCGTTCAAGGCTGGGGCTGAATTGTCTGGGGTGCTTCAGGGCAGGTGCAGGGGGTACCTGATGTGGGTTGGGACATGGTTGACAGTTCCACTGAAGGAGAGCCTTGTGGTGGCTCCTGAGTGCCTGCCCAGGGGAGCCTCCCACCCTTCTGGTAGCCCACAGGCCACCCCCCTCTCACCTTCCGTGGTGCCCTCTACAGCTCGTCTGCCACCTGCGGAATTGCTATTTGTTAAAAGACCCTCTTCTCACTGACCAGCAGAGCCAGCGAGCATTGACATGTGACACCCTCCACGTGCTGCTCCTCGGCCCTTCTCCAGCCTGGTGGGCACTGTGTCCCCCCGTTCCCCTGAGGGTCTGTGCAAAGCCTGTGAGGCAGGTGTGGCTGGGAGAGGACACAGTGGAGGGAGGTAGGGGCTGGGCCAGATGTGTGGGAACCACAGCTGCATCACCAAGGTAGAGACTGCACCCCGGTAGGTGATGGCAAGTGCACCCAGGTCCTGAGAGGTAAGTGCTCTTTGGTCTGAACATTACAAAGGTGATGCAGTTACGTAAAATCCCAGACACTGGGCACGTAGAAAGTCCATGCTGGCACCCCAAGCCTCATGCCCCTCTTGGGCAGGTAGGCTCTTTCACCACATGAACGTGGTATCTGTCGGCACTACCATGTGCAGGTTCCCAGGTTCAGTGACTTGCCCGGTGTTGGGGGAAATGAGCAGGAAAGGGTGTCCATATGTCAGGCTGGGCAGAGCTGGCTCCCTGGGAGGTGGTGGTTGAGCCCAGGAGGCAGGGGCCATATAGGTGAGGGCCACTGCGGAGCTGGAGCTGTGGCAGCAACTGTGGCTGTGCGTCCCATTGCTGAGGTCGCCTGGGGCCTAGACGGGGCTGGGACCAGGGCAGCTTGGGTGCTGAGGTGTGAGTGTATGTGTCCCTGGCACAGTCGTGGGGTGGCCTCAGCTGGGGCTAGTGACCAGAGGATGGGCTCCCGGGGCCCAAAGCCTTGCTGTTGAGTCCATGCCGCCGCCACCCACGAGTCCCATGTGCAGCCTGCGTCCAGGGTGGAGTGTGTGCACTGAGATACACGCCGACAGGCAGAGGACCGTTGTCATTTAAGGACACAGAGCAAGTGTTTCACGAGACGCAGTTGAGAAGACTGAGTGCTTGTGGTTTCTCGGTTCGCTGCCGTCCCCCTCCTACTCTGCGGTGGGAGGTCTGGCTGCCTGAGCTGTGGTCGCAGGTGTTCCCACGACAGGGTCTGTAACTGGATTGTGTCCTGGCAGTGGCTGCACCTTCTACCCTACATGGGTCAGCATTAGTGACTCGTGGTGATGAGAATCTACTATCTCTTCCAGGGCAGCTGGTGGAGTTTCTGAAGAAAAGTGAGACCAAAGGGCCGCTGTCGTGTGACACTGTCCTAAAGATTTTCTACCAGACATGCAGAGCCGTGCAGCACATGCACAAACAGAAGCCGCCTATCATCCACAGGGACCTCAAGGTGCCACGTCCCATCCCACACCCGCCCCTGCCCCCGCCTGCTGGTCAGGGTGTCGTGGCGTCTGCCTGTGAGGCTGGCCAGGCTTTGCCAAGAATTCTCAGAGACCTGTGTAGGAGCCTCTTCACAGCCAGTGGGTTTTCCAGAAGCTGCTTTTTTGAAGCAGTGAGAGAGCCCTCCCTGTGTGTCTTCAATTTGCTGATGCACATGGGGACTCTCATGCCCAGGGTCCCTCAGCTGGGCCTGGGCTTCCTCCAGGGTCCCTGTGTGTCCCTCACCTGCAGGTGTGGGACCTGGGCTCCCCGTTCTGTCCCCACAGTTCTGGGCCGCAGCTCTCGTCCTCCCACCTGACAAGACAGAGGAACAGTGGTCTTTTTCTGAGTTATATGTGCTGCAGATATCTTCTGGCTTATGGCCTGGTTTTGATTCCCCCTCTTCTGTCTTTGAAAAACCTCAGACTTTGTGGAAATTGCCCGGCGCCCTGGAGCTTGTGCTCCGGCTCTGGTCATGTTTTGGGCAGCAGCAGCCCTTCATCCCGCTTGCTGGTGCCGGTGGTTTTTGCTGAAGGATTTTAAAGCAGACCCCAGACATCACACTTTTCACTCCCAGACACTTGTGCACAAACTCTGGGGGGACAGCGTGTTTTCTTGCATAGCCCAACACCACCCCTGCCTCAGCAGGACTCAGACATTCCTTGGTTCAGTGATTTCCAACTGTGAGCCACAAGATTGTTAAAACATGCACCCCCTGGCTAGTCAGGGCGCTGACCTCTTTCCCCTTAGGTCGCCAAATAAAAAAAAGACAGCAGCCAGCACAACAGCCGTCCAGTGTGAGTGATTCAAAATTGCACCCATTTTTTGGTCAGATGGGCAAAAAGTATATTTTTTGGTGTGCGGCAGAATTTTAGTAATTAGTTCATGTGCCATAAGATGCAAAAGGTTGAAAGTAGCTGCCTTAGTGTCATCTCACATCCAGTCTGTGGCCAGTTCCCCAGTTTTCCCCAGGTGTTGTCTTTGAAATCTCCCCAGGAGGGCACGGGGTGGGTTCTCCTCTTGGGCCCAAATGGGGAGTCGGCACTGACACCCTGTCTGTGGGGCTTTGTCTTCATTTAGATTTGAACCTCTGATGAGCCTTCTGCCCCCTGAACCCTAGAGGCTGGTTTTAGGCCACTAGTTGGCAGGCACTGTGTTGCCGACACCTGTGGGGTGGGTAGGATTCCTGAGCAGTGGTGCTGTGAGTGCAGACGCCTTTCTCTGCCGTCTGGGTTCGCCTGTTATCGGCCGGGGGCAGGTGGATTTTCCCGTGCCCTCAGGACTTCTCTGGCTTACGTGGTAGCCATGTGCTTATATGTGCAAAAATCCAGGAGGATGGACTTAGTGTATCTGCGAGTGTTGCCTGGGCTTACATCTCTCACCGTCTCGGTGCCCCGTGTGTGCCAGGTGTCCTTGATGCTTGTCCATGGGATTTCTGGGCCCCACACGGTGCTCCTCTCTGTTGTGAGTGGCTCCGGAGTGCGTCCTTTGTGTTGGCTTTTTGCTCAGTGCTGTGGTTTTAGGGTTCGTCCATCTTGTGTGCCCACAGTTTCACAGAGTTTATGCCGTGGGGTCCCTGCTTCCCGTGCTGGTGGTGACCAGTGCCCCCTGAGCCTCTGGCGTCCTGCTGAGCTTTACAGCCCTTGGTGTTGGCAGCAGACTGTGTGGGATTTTTAAAATTTGTTTGTTACTCCCACTCGAGGATATTTTTCCCATTTTCAGAGAGAGTGGAAGGGAGAGGGAGAAGAGAGAGAAAGAGAGAAACATCGATGTGGGAGAGATGCATCGATTGGTTGCCTCCTGCACGTACCCCAAGCAGGGCTGGGGATTGAGTCTGCAACTGAGGTGTGTGCCCTTGACTGGAATTGGACCCAGGACCCTTCAGTCCGCAGGCCAATGCTCTAGCCACTGAACCAAACCATCCAGGGCCAGACTGTGGTTTTAGTGGCATTTTCCTTCTGTGAACGAAGCTGATAGTTTTCATGTTGATTGGCATGTGGATTTCCTCTTTGGGGAAGTACCTGTGACAGTGTTTGCCTGTTTTTCTGTTGAGTTGTCTTTTCTGTCTCATCCACAGGAGCTCTGTGTGGGGGGTGTGTGTGGCTTTTGTGTGCTCACTTTCAGTGGTCAGGGTCTGCTCATGGTGCTGTTTTCAGTGGGCATCATTAGCTGCCTATATCAGCGTGCATCTGTCCCCAGCATGTTGTCCTCAAGACTTGGGGTTGCCTTTGTTTAGGGGTGGGACTTCCTTACACTGTACTTGTCCTGCTGCCCAGCACCTGGGTCGGGTCCTGCTCTGGTGCCCTCTCCCACCAGAGCTGCACAGTCAGGCTCACCATGCCTCAGGGTAGTGTGGCTTTTCTTGGCTGTGTCTCCTTACAGATTTTTGAATCCATTTGTCAGGTTCCACCCAAAAAGCCTTTGGGAACTTGGTTCAGATTGCCTTGACTGTCCCCCGAGCAGGGTCTGCACACTTCTCTGTGAAGGGCCAGCTGTAAACATTTCTGCTCTGTGGGCCACGTCACTCTGCCATGCAACAGGATGAGTGGCAGCCACCGGCCTTTGGAGCAGTGTGTGTAGTTGCTGTGGCCTCGTGTCGTGGAGAATGGGTTTCTTATTTCTCCCAGCACTTAGGTTTGTAAAAGCCTTCTTTAGCTGGGCCTTGCAGAGGCAGCCAGGGCTAGACCTCGCCCCAGATTGTGCCCTCGAGTGTCTGCGGCAGGTTTGTCTCTGCTGTTAGAAACGTGGTTCATCTCAATTGACAGTTTTCTGGCTGGGTTTCTTCTCAGATTCTTGATATATGTGATGATTTTTTAATGGTATGTTAATTTTTTCATCTTTGGACTTTTCTAAAGGCCTTTGTTGTGCATCCCAGAGTATTAGTCGCAGTTATCTTTTGATTTGTGATTGACTTTGACTATCTCAATTACCTATTTCTAAAGTACATATACTGGTTTTGATCAGAAAGAAGTTGAGGTGCTGCACTTTCCCCTAGGGGCCAGCTGGCTATCTGCACCCTAAGTTTGTAAGGTCCATCTTCTGGAATTTTTCAGGTTGAAAACTTGTTGCTGAGTAACCAGGGGACCATTAAGCTGTGTGACTTTGGCAGCGCCACGACCATCTCGCATGTCCCAGACTATAGCTGGAGTGCCCAACGACGAGCCCTGGTAGAGGAAGAGGTGAGACGTGGCAGGCAGTGGTCATGGTTGCGTGGCCCCCAGCAATGTGCATGGGCAGGCTGCACCTGTGTCCTCGTGTTGGAGGTGTGTCACGGTGGGCCACGTGGTTCTGCCATGCAACAGGACAAGTGGCAGCCACCGGCCTTGGATTGCCTAACACGAGGTCTCAGCGCAGGGGACTCACATGCATACATGAAGGATCACAAGCCTGTGACTTGATGACTTCCTGTGTGGGTGCCCCTCAGCCATGTCTGGGTCGCACAGCACCACCTGCCTGCCTTCCTCCCAGTGCTCCAGGCCAGTCGGCCTCGCTCAGTATGGAGGGTTGTCCTGTGAATGGCTGATCAAGGCCCGGCTTCATTTATGCATCTGTGTTGGCCTTGGGTTTCTCTTGCGCCCTTGCCCACCTCCTCCTGAAGCCGATCTTCTGTGGAGAACCGAGGGTCACCTCTGCTTGTCCTGCCGAGGTCATGGCCCTGTTCCCACGGTATCTCTGACCTTGGGGTTGGTGTGTGTGTTTGCCATGTGCGGGGCCTGCTGGCCTTCCCCTTTGCTGTGTCCCCCAGCCTCTGTCACAGGTCCCACCCTGTATACCTGGGTCTTGGGTTTTTCACATAAAAACCTGACTCAACCGTAAATTCAGCTTAGTTCTTTCTGTGACGAAGGCTCTTGTCCATGAGAACTCGTCAGGAAGCTGCTTTGAGAGCAGCACTTCCTCGCAGCGCTTCCTCCCAGCGCACTGGTGACCCACCTCACAGAGCTCGCTTTGGGCCACTCTGGACGAGATTGCCCAGCAGCTGAGACGTCTGTCTCCTGGACACACAGCTGACATCTCAGAGTGTGTGCTTTGGCGTGGCTGCTCCAGCAAGAATTGGGGCCACTCCGGAGACAGGCGGCTGTGGGGAAGTGAGGGGAGAGAGGGAGACGAGTGGCCTGAGAGCTCTCTGGAGCCCACGGGGATAGAAGTAAGCTTCCTGTAGGAAAGTTGTGGGCACTGATACTGTAATTGCTGCTCGCATGTAACTTCCCTTTGAAAAGGTCGTGTTTGTTCTTCAGATCACCAGGAACACAACGCCCATGTACAGGACGCCAGAAATCGTGGATCTATACTCGAACTTCCCCATTGGCGAGAAGCAGGACATCTGGGTGAGGCTGCAGTGCCTTGTGCGCAGTAGGCGAGAGGCCCACGGCTCTGGCCTGCCTGTGGCTCTGGAGGCCACGTTTCTTTGGCTTCCCTTCTTTTTCTTTTCACTGCTACTAGTGGGGATGGACTGCGTAGAAGTGTGTTGGGGTCACTGTGGGTGGGGTCAGTGGTTTGCTGTCTCCAGGCTTGGCTGTACTCCCCTGACCCAGGGACAGCTGTTCTGGTCAGAGCCCCTTCACGGGGGCCAGGCGTGCACGAAGCATGGTTCATGGGGCTAGACCCTGGGTTGGGGTGGGGCTGTGTTCCTTCTGGTGTCCGTTGACTCTTTGTTGAGCGTGGGTGTCCTTCGGCCCCCTTGGCCTCCCTAAGAGCAGGGACAAATACCCCTCAGCCCTGGGCCTCCCTGAGGCCTTGCGCCTCGAGGCTCATAGTCTGGGCCTGTCAGGCCCGTGTCCAGTGTTGGCATGTTGTGGATGGGGTGTGCCTGTCCTGGGTGTAGGTGGAGGCAGGTGGCAGTTGAAATGAGTGAACTCCTGGGACTTGGGTGCTGGAGCTGTGCTTAGTGACAGGCAGCAAGTGAAGCCCCCCCACACGCACTGCGTCTTCCCCTCCCAAGTCTCAGGTGACCCTAGGTGAGTGCCCTCAGCCGTCCCAGCCCAAGGACACACACAGGCACATGCACACACAGGAGCTGAAAGGGTGAAGCTGGAGTTGCATGCTGGGGCTCAGGTGTCTGTGGTGTGCGCTGTGAGTCCTCAACTGGATGAGATATGGGTGCTGAGACAGTCCCCAGTCTCTCTGCTGTGTCCCTAGGGGCACTAGGTAAACACCCTACAGGTGAGGAGACTGGTACTGGGTTCGGAGCCACTTCTATGATATCCCACTTCACCCTGTGGATTCCTGCGTGTTCTGCCTCAGGGCACATCCACCTGTGCTCAGCATTATCACTGAAAAGCATGGATGTGGCTCTTTCCTCCATAGTCACCCTGCTGTCCCCCCGTCAGCAGATCCCAGGGCTTGGATGTGGGAACTTTTCATTTTGAAAAGGACTTTTCACCAGAAAATAAGAGGTTGGCGTTTGTTTGCTGCTTTGCCTTCAATGCTCTTTGCCTCCGACGAGCACGGGGAGGAGGGCTGGCTGTGTGCGGGAGCACCGTCAGGCTGCTCGAGGGCGCTCATCAGACCAGACTGAGCCAGATCCAGGGACAGGCCCCCTTCACTTCCATCCCCGTCTCCCAGCTCTGCCCCCAGCCCTCACCTCCGCCCTCCCTGCAGGCGCTGGGCTGCATCTTGTACCTGCTGTGCTTCGGGCAGCACCCTTTCGAAGACGGAGCAAAACTTCGGATAGTGAATGGGAAGTACTCCATCCCTGCTGACGACAATCGGTACTCCGTGTTCCACGGCCTCATCCGTAAGTTCTGTGTGCAGGGACCGCGGAGGCCACGCCTCCTATAACGTCTTGTGTGGCTCTTTGGCAGCCTCCCTGGTGTGGGCTTTTCCACGGAGTGCCCATCAGTCAGCCATTGTGAGTCATGGTGCTCCAAATGGTGACTTTTGGTAATTCTACTCCATTGTTGCTCTTCATGTCATTACCTCACTAACATCAGTAAAACGAGGGGCCTCCATGGGTCTATAACATCTGCAAGGGCAGGGCAGTGGGACTCTGGGGCCCTGAGCACGACCTGTCCCCTGCTGCAGGCGCTACACTGAAGGTCAACCCAGAGGAGCGTCTGTCCATCACCGAGCTGGTGAACCAGTTGCAGGAGATCGCAGCTGCCAGGAATGTGAACCCCAAGTCGCCCATCACTGAGGTAGGCCTTTTGGGCATTTCACAGCAGGCTTTTGAGATCTTGAGAGGCCCAGTTGCTTTAAAGGGGTTGACGCCATTGTGTAGGAGGAGTCCCCATGCTCCACTGATTCCAGGGCGGGATCACCTGGCGGGAGGAGTCAGCACCAGACAGAGGGCTCTGTGTGTACAGCCTTCTTAGGCCTGGGGTTCTAGGTAGGAGATGGAAGGAAAAACAATGTGTCAGATGGTGGCCAGTGCAGAGGAGGAGGGAGCAGGGAAGGCATGGCAGTGTGGGCGAGGCTCAATTGGTGAGGCTCACCTGGAGGCATCTGCTCTGGGGCTGCCACTTGCATGTGTGCTGCCAGCAGTTCTCCCAGGGCGGTGGAGGTGCCCGTGGACACACAGGTTGCTGGTCAGTGGGTGCGGGAGCACCTTTCGATCTTAGCACTTCTAGATTCTAGGACCTAGCACTTCTAGGACCATGATGCAAACACTCAACCCCCTCTGTGGGCTCTTCTTCCCGGGACAATGAGGCACCTGTCCCTTCGTGGGGTCAGACCTGAAGCCCAGGAACAGGTCCAGATGGAGAACTGGGCCGTGCTTTCACATAGGTGAGGAGCCGTGATCTGCGTGTCCTTGGCAAATGGCTCAGAGACACTAAGTGACCTGGAAGTGTATGGTCACAGTGGGAGGTATTGCCTTCCCATCAGAACCTGGTAAAACACCTAAGTAAAACTGAGGGCGTGTGAAGAAAAAACCTGGTCCATCTCATGGCCACGTGCTGCTTGTAGTGAAGAGAGCATGTGTGTCGTGAACACTGACCACCTGCCAGATCACAAAGGAAGGCAAAGCTTCACGCCCACATTACTTTCTGAGCTTAACGTGGTAAATCTTTACTCCATAGCAAGAATATCTTTAAAAACCACACCAGAAACTAGAGCACACATTTGCGTAACTTACAGGAAGAGTGACGGTGGATGCCACGACCCATTCAAGGCCAAACAGGGCTGCATCTGGTGCTGAGTGGGTCTGGCAGGAGACTGTGGCCCTGTCCCCAGCTGGGCCCCAGCATCACAGGCCTGAGCTGTGCCTGTGGCCAGCGTCTCGAAGCACCTCTCTGAAGGTTTTGTCATTGAGGCTCTGGCCAGCGTTGGTCTTGGGCTCAGCTTGTGGAAGACGGCCCTTCACTGCGCAGCCCACGTCCCATCTCTATGGCAGGCAGCAGCTGCGAGCCCCCTGGGCTGGGCAGAGATTGTGAGGGCCTGCTCATTGCCCACCGTACACCCATCCTGGACTATAGAGCCTGGCACACGGTGGGCGTGCGGGCACCTGAGGGGAGTGGGCAGGTCACCCAGTGACCGTGAACGTCAGCTTACTGAACTTTGTGACCCGCCCTTTGGTTTAGGGATTTTACAGTAAGTCAGGTAGAGGCGGGAGCTCCAGCTGCTGGGAACTGGTGTCAGGTTTTCTCCCTGGCATGAAGCGGGGTGAACCTGGCCCTGACCTCTGTGGAAGCTGAGTCCCTGCTTTTTGAATCCTCACAGCTCCTGGAGCAGAATGGAGGCTATGGGAACACTGCCGCACCCCGAGGGCCACTGCCTCCTGGGGGGTCCACGAGCAGTGGCTACAGCGGAGGTGAGTGCCCACACTGCTGCGGAGTGCCGGCACCCAGATCCTGCCCTGGGGCCTGGTAGTGAGAGAGGCTGCTCCTTTCGGGTCCCCAAACCACACTCCGATCCTGGTTGCCAAGAGCTCCCAGAACTCAGTAGAGGCAACACTCAGGGCCACGTTTAGGACAGAATGAGGGGGGAGGTGGGAGCATAAGCCATCCTCCTGTGCTGTCGGGACAGCGCAGGTGCTCGGAAGCACCCTGGTGTCCGGCCTGTAGGACTTTTGGGGTGGCCACCCAGGCACCGTCATCCACCCATGTGGCCAGCTTAGTCTCCAGCCTCTTGGAGGCCCAGCTGATGCCCATGATCATGGCCCAGGCAGATGAGGGATGCCTCACAGCTACAGGTAGTTGCCATGAGGCCTGTGCATGAAGGGGGTACGTGGGAAAGAGCAGCCATGGTGGGAATCAGGGCTCAAGGTCCGCGTCCGCTGCTGGTGAAGGTGTGGGCTCTTCAGGGCAGGAGAGACAATCTAGCCACAGCAGAGGTGGCTCAGCAGGTTTTCCTCTCGACACGGTCGTGTTCAGTAAGTGAGCTGTACCCGAGGAGCCCTCAGCCTAGGTTCTACAGCATGCCTGGGAAGGTTCTGGAAGGCCCTGCCAGGCTGTGCTACTCGGCCACAGGCCCCATCCCATTGGCCACTTCTCATTGTCTGGGGCGTGGAATCAGCTCTTTGTTTCCTGGGGAGGGGCCATCCCAGCAGCCAGCTGGCCCAGTGTCCTGCGCACCCCATGTGTACGCAGTGTGGGTTTTGGGTGCCCAGCACGTGGGGCCACTTAGACTGCCCTTGGGGGGTTCTCAAGGCGTTCAGACAGGACCACACCACGTATGTGTGCACGCATGCCCCCACCACACTCTTGCCCACACGTGCTCACCCTACACACATAAGTGCTGGTGCCTGGCTGGGGCCGTGCTGGTCACTTCCTGGTGAACAGCCAGCATAAATGTCCTACACATGTGCGACATGTTAGCCACTTTTTATGGCTGCGCAATAGCCAAGAATGGCTGGCCCCTTGTCCCAGCTGTGACCCAGCCACCTGGTGGCCCGAGTTGCTGGCTGGTCACAGAGGCTGTGGCACAGACAAGGCGACCCCGGGCACAGAGGCAGTGTTCAGATCGCGCCTTCCTCTTTTACCCCAAATTCCACCCCCACAGCTGCCTTTGAGGACCCCCCCCGAGTCCTAGGGTTTTGGGACCTGCCTTCATTTGCCATCACCCTGCAGACAGACAGAAGCACACCTGCTGTCCAGCCACACGGCCTTTCTCTGCCTGGCTGGGGCCACCTGCATGACCCCACTCCTGTGCCCTCTGTGTCCACCTGTGTCCTCTTGTCTCAGGGATGGAGGCCCTCAGTCTGCATTTTTGTGGTGGCGGAGTTCCAGGGTACAGGAATGCTGAAAGTGAATTGGTTCAACATCCTAGCGATGGGACTGGAGGGCCCTAGGCACCCAGAGGCTCTGCACTCGCAGACTGGGTCCAGGTTCGGCCCTTGGGAGAGCCACTGTGTGGGCGCTGGACGAGGCTCAGGAGCCAGTTACTATTTAATTCCTATGCCTATGTGTGAAACGCAGATGGTCGGGGTTGACAGGAAGTGTGGCTTGTCATAGGTTCTGGGAATTCTGGATGCTCCCTTCTCTGGGACCACGGCGCAGCTCCACCCACGACCTGAGGGTTTTCTCTGCTTGCAGGCCTGGCAGTTGCTGAGTACGACCAGCCTTACGGCGGGCTTCTGGACATCCTGCGGGGGGGCACCGGGCGTCTGCTCACCAACCTCAAGGACACCTCCTCCAAGGTCATCCAGTCTGTTGCCAAGTGAGTCGAGGGTGTGGGTACAGGTTCTAGGTAACAGCACGTAGTTTCTCCATAGTGTGGAGACTTTCTGACCTTTGGCTCTGTCCCACCTCCAATCCTGACACAACCTGCACTCGTGGCCACCAGTGGGGCCTGCATACCCGGGCTGGGCTCTGCCCTGTGAAGTGGGTGGCTCCACAGCCCCATTTCCACCTCTACCATGAGGGACTTGGTGGAAAGCGGAGAAGGGCTGACATCTCTGTGTCGGCCAAGCAGAGCCCCTGGACCTGTGGGATAACGTCACCCTTGCCCCAGCCTCAGTGTCCCTTGCTGTGACACCTCATGTTTGTGCTGTTTCCTTTCTGTGGTGTGGAGTTTCCTTTCTGTGGTGTGGAGTGATTGGGCATTAGTGGGGCACAAGGGCACTTCGTTAATGTTAAACGTGAGATCACTCAGATTTGGCCAGAGGACCTGAGTGTGTGGGTGAACATCACCTATGAGAGAATTGTTCAGGGCAGCACATGTCTGCACAGCTGCAGGCTGTTTGTTCTGAATGCTGGCCCACAACCCCATGACCAAAAGGTGCGACCTGCACTTGCTGTGCCCTCAGGAGGGAGCTCTGCAGCCTGGCCCAGGTCCCCAGTGTGGTCGGTGCAGGGGTGTCTGCTTCAACACGAGGCCGTCCACTCCCCGTTCTGGCTGCTCTGTGAACCTGTCGCAGGAGGGGATTTGCGATGATCTTTGATGTGTCTGTCATGTACTCAGTCCAGCGTTGGGAACCTTTGTTTCGTTGGCGATCAGCACATTCTGTTGACAGTTGAGGAAATCTCTTGGCTTGTTTTTCTGTCTCTGTGGTGCTATGATTATCGTTTTGTGTCTACAACTGTGTCAGCACCATAGGCAAAGGCATGCGTGCTTGTGCGTGAGCACGTGGTGTGAGCACACGTGTGGTGTGCATAAGTGGGGGTGGGGTGAGTACACTCGTGTGGATATATTTGTACATGTGTTCACATGTATGAGTGGGGGTGTCAACACTGGTGCATGTTCACGTTTTCATGTGTGGGCGTGCACATGTGTATGAACAGGTATGCATGTGTGTGGGTGTGAGCAGGTGTGCACATGTGGGTGCCCATGCATGTGAGTAGGTGTGTACACATTCACATGAGAGCAGGTGTGTGGTGTGTGTGTGAGCAAGTGTGCACATGTGGGTACATGTATAAGGAGGCATGTGTGTGCATGCGTGGGTGTACACAAGTGGAAGTGTAGGTATTTACATGTGTGAGTGAGTTGCTGTGTTTGTACGTATGTGGGTGTGTCGGGGGTGTGCTATGTGGGCATGCATTTGTGTATGAGCAGTTGTGTGCATGTGTGTTCACAGGTGTGTGGACAGGTATGTGTATTTGTGTGCATGTGTATCACAGGTGTGTGCTCATGTGCATCACGCTTTCTGGGGCTTTTCCTCGAGGGGGTCAGGAGTGACCATGGCCATGATCTTCGTGCTCCTGATCACAAGTTCTTGGCAGCCGTGGTGTGGAAGGCAGTTGTACCTCTCCCCCCCCAGACCAATGCAGTCATCCAGGTGGTGTCCCATGTTGCGAGCAAGGGTCTCTGGCCACCCAGGGCTCTGCATGCCACAGGAGGACCCAGTTCAGGCCTCAGTGGGGTGGTTGTGCCCCGGTCGCTGTTAATGGGGACTCTCTAGGGCCACTAGGAAGCCTCTGCCACAGGCAGAGACCTTCTCCTAGGGTCTGTGGGGCCTCACCTTGGAGGGGCCCTTTCTGTGCACGCTGATGCGACCTCTGTGTGTCTGCAGCTGCCTCCAGTGGCGCCACAGGGTGCCCACAGCTGGTCTGTGTCCTGGAGGCCAGGGCCTGGGCCTTGCGTATGTGTCTGTGGTCTCTTGTTTCTCTCGTCAGTTTGAGGTACTGACCTTAGATGTCTGCACCTCTCACACACATCCTGGAGCCAACACACCAGGTGCTCATACAGCCTCGGACCAGGCGCACCAGTTCCCAGCTTTGCGTGTTTTTGAACCTGTGGCATCTGCTCACTGTGTTCACTCTGTGCCGTGTGCCCCACGCAGGTGCTTGGGGGGACTCATGGGTCAAGCGGCAGAGTCCAGCATGATCTCCCCAGCACTAGGCTGGTCTCCCTGTGGCCTTGCAGCTCTGGCCACGTGCGTTTCTCTTCTCTGAACCACCTGTACTTCGCTCTTTCCATATTGGGTTTTGGTTTTGTTAGATTTATATATTTTATGTTCTACATACTGATTCACTTTGTGAAAAAGACAAAACAGCAGTTTCTCGTCTGTTGTCTTTCTCTGTTTGGTTTTAATTAAAGCACAAATCTGTCCATATTTTCTTGTATGTCTTTTGTTTTCCTGTGAAGGCCCTTTGTACCCCATCTTAAAGAGGTTAGACGTGTTTAAAAACACGCTTCAGGATGTTTCAATGTACTTTTAACGGTTTCCTTGTACGTCCAGGTCTCTAATCCATGTGGACCTTACTTGGAGGTTTTTCATTCGTTCCCAGCTGCTCTCCCCGGACAAGAAGGGCCCCTCTGCCAACTGCAGTCGGGGTGCCATCCGAGTCTGCTGTCCAGGTCCCCACTCATCCCAAGCTCCCCCCCACCCTGGCTGTGCCTGACCGCCCTGCAGCTGCAGTGCCGTTTGTGCCGCAGACCTGCCTCCTCTGTCCTTCCCGGGAAGGCCCGCTGCTCTTTGCCCAGCTGTTATTTTGCGTGAATTCTAGAACTTGTCCGGTGCTGATTCTAGGCTCTAGCAGGGAAGCGTCCCCAGGCCTGCAGACTCCCTTCCTGCCCTCCTAGAGTTCTTGCTGGCCACCCTGGGGGTTGTGCATGTGGCAGCAGGCATGTGGAGCAGCCAGCCTGCACAGGGGTCCCTGTGCCCCGGAGCCAGCGGGACCCACCTCCCTGCTAGGGCTTCCCTGCCTGGCTGAGTCCAATGAGAATCATAAAAGGAGACCTAAGTGGAGTAGTTTATGTTTGGGAGAATTTTAAAGATGGTATCACGTTTCGATTAATCTATAAATTCATTGCCATACAAAAAAAATTCTGACATTGTTTTCATAGACTTTAATCTTAAAATTCATTTCACCCGAAATTGCCAACAGTACTTTAAAAAAACAAGAGTAATGAGGGATGGTCCCTGTTACACATGAGCTTTTTCAGTGTCCGTGCTGTGTGTTGAGGGCTGAGACTGATAAATGGTGCACTCGAGGACTATGTGACCAGAGGAAACACTGGGCCTGAGAGGGAACCTTGGACTTGTTGGGGTGGGTGCTGAGACCATGCTCATCCATGTGGGGAAAGAAAGTTGAGTCCCCATATAATAGCAGTGAAATGCATTAATCTCACTAGTTAAAAGATCTAATTCTGAGAAGCAGTTTTTTTAAGAAAAAACTAATAAACTATAGACATTTTTCTAACACTAGAAGACTTCTTAAATGAGACAAAAAATATACAAGCCATGGAGGAAATGATTAATAAATTTCACTACCTTAAAACAAAAATTCTCTATTCCTCAAAAAACCCCCACACTTCTTTAAAATAACAAAAACATACAGCACGGATTGGGAGTAAATATGTTGAAACTGGCTCACCGAGGAATATTACCATAGTGAGTTGTGAAAAGGAACAGCAAATGAAACCGCACCAGGGCAGTTGCAGGACAAGCTGGGAAACGAGGAGAGGGCTCAGCGTCCGTGTTACTTTGCAGACAGGATGTAGTTGGTCTGTCTTGTGATTGGTGCATTTAGACCATTGACATTCAAAGTGGTTATCGATACAGTTGGGTTAATTCATACCACAAATTCCTACCACCTTTGTTACTGTTTTCTAGTCACTGCTCCTGTTCTTTGTTCCTATTTTTATAGTCCCTCTTTTTCTGCCTTTTGTGGTTTGAGTGGAGTATTTTATAAGATGCCGTGTTCACCATTCTTAGCATGTGTCCTGCTTCTCTACTTTTCTTAGTGGTTGCCCTGTGGTTGGCAGTGTGCACTCACAGCTAATCCAAGTCCACATTCAGTAACACTGTGCACTTCTTGGTGTTGGGAGCACTCTGATGCCACAGTAACCCTGATTCCCTCTCCATCCCCTCATCGTTGCTGTCATTCATCACTTACTAGGAGGCATGCATGTCCACACACACGCACGTAAGCACACTGACACCCTGTTGCCAGTATTGTTTTGAACAGACTTATTAATTAAGAATGACGAAAATAAAAGCTTTTATTCTACTTTCATTCCTTTCTTCCTTGACGCTCTTTTGTTCCTTCTCTCTAAAACACTTCTAACAACGTTTCTTGCAGAGCAGTACTACTGGCAGCACGTCCCTTCAGTTTTTGTTTGTCTTAAGAAAATCTGTTTTCCTTTTCACTTTTGGCAGATAATTTCACAGGGCACAGAATTCTGTGTTGGTGATTTTTTCTTTTAGCACTTTAGATATTTTATTCCACTCTTGCTCGCATAGTTTTTGAGAAGACGGTGTGACTCTTGTCTTAGTTCCTCGAAGGTCAGATATGTGTGTGCTCCCTCCAGCCTCTGGCTTCTTTCAGGATTGTTTCTTTACCTTTGATTCCCTGCAGATTGTATGTGGTGTGCCTGGGTGTGGTTTTCCTGGCATTTATCGTGCTTAGTGTTCTTTGAGCTTCCTGGATCCATAGTTTGGTGTCTGATCTGAATTTGGGGAAATTCTCAGTCATTGTCTCAAATACTTTTCTCTCCTCCTGTGTCCCCCTTATGTGTGTGTCACTCCTTCCATGGTTGTCCCACAGCCCTTAGATATCACGTTCTGGTGTTTGCGGCCTTTGTTCTCTTTGCTATTCGGTTGTTGAGGATTCTGTTGATATTTCCTGTAGCTCAGAGATTCTACCCTCAGTTGTGTCCAATCTAAGGAGCCCATCAAAGCCTTCACTTCTGCTGCAGTGTTTTTGTGTCTGGCCCCTTTTTTTGGGTGGGGGGGTTGTTTCTTAGATTTCCGTCTCTCTCACCACATTGTTTATCTGTTGTGTTTGTTTGTTTTTAATATGTCTTTATTGATTTCGGGGGGGGAGGAGGGAAATGGAAACATCCATGATGAGAGTTATTGATCGGCTGCCTCTTGTATGCCCCCTGCTGCCTATCGAGCCCACAACCCCAGGCATGTGCCCTGACCAGGAATCGAACCCCAATCTCCTCGATCATAGGTTGATGCTCAACCACTGAACCACGCCAGCTGGGCTGCTCATCTGTTCTTGCATGCTGTCATAGTTGCTGTAAATTCCTGGTCTCATAATTTCAACATCCCTGCCACATCTGATTTTGAGGCTGACTGTGTCCCTTAAGATTGTGTTTCTGCGTTCTGGTCATGTCTGAGATCACCAGACATGACAATGTACTGTGTCAGAAGGCTCTGTTGTCTATTCTTGCCACTGTCTCTTTATAACCAGGTCCCCCGTCACACCTCTCTAGGGGAGAAGAGCACTGAGAACTCAGAGCAGTCCTGGGTCTGTGCCTCTCCACCCTGCAGCTGCCTCTCAGGGAGACATCAGCTTCTCTCACACATGGGCCTGGGCTCACAAAGATCCTGGTATTGCACTCACACACATAGTGAACCACATATGTGCACACGTGCACACACACACATGCTCACACACCCCATGGCCTCCCCAGGACTTGCTCTACTTTAAGTTCTTGTGACTTAACTTTAGAAATTTCCTGTGATAACCAAGTGCTCTTTTGAATTCCAGTTACGCAAAAGGAGACTTGGACATATCCTACATCACATCCAGAATTGCAGGTGCGTTGCCCCTCACCATGGGCGCACTTCTGACCTCCTGTTGGCGACGGACACAGGACGTGGGCCTCCCACACAGCCTGCTATACCTCGGGTGTGAAGGGCAGGCTGCTGGGGAAGGCTGGGGCATCGATCCCTATGTCTAGAGCACCTCCAGGCCCTGCAGTGGACAGTGCCAATGTCAAGCAGCTTCTCCCTGGTCTGGAACTTTTCTGGGGCTCTGAGGTGTGAGAGGAATGATGTGAGGCCATGCACAATTAAAACTTGGGTCTCCAGTCAAAAATCAAAACCAAAAACAGTATCCGGGCACTGGGAGACCCTGCTGTGCATCAGGTCTCAGCAGAACCTCCTGCCAGGTGTACCACCTGGAGATCCCAGAGAGTCTTCTCTGCATAGTGGACAGGCAGTGCAGTGGGTGGGGGCGTCCTGTGCTGCACCCCTCTCAGCACTTGCTGTACTGATGGGTCACCAGTTACGGGAGCGGAAGAAGCAGGCCTGAGTGGCCATCCCCAGGCTATCACCCAGGGGGCTGACATGGCTGCTCTCTTTCAGTGATGTCATTCCCGGCAGAAGGTGTGGAGTCGGCCATCAAAAACAACATAGAAGACGTGCGATTGTTTCTGGACTCCAAGCACCCGGGACACTATGCGGTCTACAACCTGTCCTCGAGAACGTACCGGCCCTCCAAGTTTCACAACCGGGTGAGTGACCTGCTCTGCCTCCCACTGCAGTGCAATTTTCAGACCATCCTGTTGACCTGCACAGCAGCGCCAGTGAGCAGTGCCCGGGGTTCTGCAGGGTTCTTGGGGCCTGTGGTGGGAGGGCAGGGTCTTCAAGGGTGTGGTGACACAGCCTAGGGCCGTCCTAAGGACACTGGAAAGCGTCAGACAGGTGACTGCAGAAACCAGCGGAGCCTCGCTGCTTCTCGCCTATGGGGCCTGAGGCCACAGAGTTTTCTTGGTACCTGAACCTGTGGGTCACAGATGTTTTTTACAGCTGACCCAGGTGTGGGAGTGGGCCATTGCCCAGTTCTCTTCGCCAAGTCTATCTGCTTGGCACAAATCCTGTCTCAGAGGAGCGTGTGAGCCAAGGCAGGTGCTTGAGATGAGAGCCCCTCCCCGAGGGTGCTGCAGGGTTTCCAGGCTGAACCATGCTCTGTCCTGCTGCAGGTTTCCGAGTGCTGTTGGGCGGCCCGGCGGGCCCCGAGCCTGCGTAGTCTGTATAGCGTCTGCAGGGACATGCACTGGTGGCTGCGGCAGGACCACAAGAATGTCTGTGTGCTGCACTGCATGGTGAGTGAGGTCTCGTTCCCACCTTCTGCTCAGGATGCGGCAGAGAGGACGTGAGCCAGGGAGGACCCTGCACTGGGACGCTCTGGTTGGCCAGAGAACAGATGTAAACCCAGGGTGTCAGATAATAACAGTGCTAGGAGAGGGCCAGGGACGGCTTAGTGTCCTGGGTGGTGATATGCGCCAGGAGTGGGGCTCCTTGCCGAGCTGAAGCACTGTGTGCTCTCTGAGCACTAGCAGCCTTCTGCGTCTCGAGAACTAGATGCTGCAGGTGCTGGGCTGGCATGTGCACCCCTGGCAGGTCCCGCAGAAGCAGCGACTGCTGTCCTGGGTGCCCTGGCTGGGCTTCACCCTCACTAGACAGTGAAGCCCCCATGCCCTGTGTGGGCACACACTCTGGAAGATCACCCACACAGGACCCCACTTTTAATACAGCATGCCGATGGCCTTGAGGCAGCACCCACAGAGGTCTCAGCCACCCAGCACTGAGGCCACTACCTCATGGCACTCCATCTTTGTCCCTCATTTCTGCAGCTGAGGGACCACCCTTATCCTTGATGCACAGTGCAGCTTTAGTTTGTGGGTGTTACACAAGGACACCTGCCGAGAGTGCACTCAAAGATTAGCGCAGCTATCCTGGTGGTGGTGGTAAAAGTCACACCAGGAGTGACAACGAAGAGGATTCAGTAAGGGAGTGAGTGTGAGGCCCGGGGACAGTGAGTGTAAGCCTTGTCCAGCTGGAGTCGCTGGCCATCTTATGCTTTCTGTGAAGGAACTTTTTCTCTGGGTACTGGGTTTTCACCCCGTCGGTATGTGTCCGTAAGTTCCAGAACCTGCTCCCAGCCCCGAGGATGGGCCCTGCTGTCTGTCCCCTAGGGAGGCAGGTGCTTGGGACCTGAGTGAGCTGCCCTGTGCCATCTGTCCTAGGATGGGAGAGCCGCGTCCGCCGTGGCTGTCTGCTCCTTTCTGTGCTTCTGCCGGCTCTTCAGCACCGCCGAGGCCGCCGTGTACATGTTCAGCATGAAGCGCTGCCCACCAGGCATTTGGCCATCCCACAAAAGGTACTGTGTCCCTCTTGTGGGACATTGGCTGGGGTGTCCCCAGACAGTTGTAGCCATGGGTCATGGGAAGTGAGAAGGGCTTGGGAAGGGGTGGGGATTGTGAGGTGTGGGTTAGAGCTCTGGCCTGGTGAATTCAACCCTGCCCGATACCAGCCAATTAGTCAGGGAGGGTCAGTCTCAGCCTCCCAGAGCCCGGGGCGGGGAGCAGTACCTCTGTCCAGTTCCTGGGTGCCAGCTCTTGTAGCAGGCATGGCCAAGAGGCCTGTGTCTGAGCCGGGCACGGCCACTGGCTCACTGGGGCATGGGGACAGTGCCTCTGGTCGTCAGCTCTGTGCACATGTGGGTTTTGTTTGTGTGAGTGATGCAGGAAAAAAGGGAAGGTGTCCAGGCCAGCCAGGGTTTGGTTGTTCCAGGCCATTCCTCCTGCCCTGGATGGTCACACAGCCTGTGGACAGTGGGTGGGGGCAGGTAAATGCTGTCCTGCTGTAGGGCCACCTTAATGTCTAGGGGTGGGTGTGGTGCAGTGTTATATACCTTGGCTGCCCAGGGAGCTAGCCACGAGCTGTGTATAATGTGTTACTGGAGTGTGGGCTAGGCCACCAAGCAAAGTGAAAGACCGCTGACCCTTTTAGCATGTTGACCTAAAAGCCATTTTTGCTCCTGAATTCCAAATATATCGAGGGTTCCCGAATTCTGCCTGCAGCCGTAGGATCCTGCTGAGCAGCCGTAGGATCCTGCTGAGCAGCCGCTCACAGTTGGCAGACCCAGGAAGAGGGCTGTTAGCGGTGGCAAGTGCCTGACACTGGGACCCCACCCAGGCCCCAGGCTGCTTCCTTGGGGATGTGCGGGTATGTAGAGCATCGTTCCCACCCTAACTCCTTAAAAAGCAGTGGGACCAGCTCCAAACTCAGGACTCTTCCAACCTGTTGGAGCAGTGGCTGGTCGTTAGAGCACTCTGCCACCTGCAGTCTAAGCAGAGGATGTGAGCTGGTGCCAGAAAGAAGGGCCAGCGAGTGGTCAGTGTATGCAGAAGCCAGCGAGGCCGCAGAGACTGGGGAGTCTGTCCTCTTGAGTCTACACTGGGCACTCACAGAAGGGCTTGCAAAGGGGATTGGAGTGTGGCTCCCAGGGGGACAGGCAGGAAGTTTACATAGCTGAGTAACACTGGTATAGGGCAGAGAGGTCAGGCCTTCAGCAGAGATGGGGCTGTGAGGAAGGAGGAGTGGAAATGCTGGACATGGCAGCACAGGTGATGGTGAAGGCTGCCTCCCAGGCCTGTCGATCAGAGGAGGGCATGTGGAGAGAACTGTGAAGGAGATGGGCAGCTGCCCGTCACACTGAAGACAGGCACTGAGAATTTCCCTGAGGTGATGGTGGCCTCAAACCTCAGGCTTAGAGGACCCTGAGCAGGATTAAACGGCATAGACAGAGAAAGCCCTTGCGTGTGCCCTGTGCTCCCTGCTAGAGCCACACTTAGAGGTGGAACAAGAGAGATTACAGTAAATTCCAGAGGGATCCCCGTCAGAAACCCCAGGGCAGCCAGTGAAGATTTCAAGTCAGCAGAGGGAACAAATGGAAGAAGCACAAGGAGCTTGCAGTTAACCCAAGAGGAGACCAGGGAGCAGGAACCAGGAGCAGCTGAACAAACAGTGGCCGGAGGGTGGTTGCCTAACCATGGCGGCCATTGCAGGGAAGGGGTACGGCAGGTGGAGAGCAGTCCCAGGGATGGACCGCGTGCACTTGGGACAGAGTCAGGCAAGACTATGGTCAGTGGGGTAGCCTGAGCGTCAGCCACAAAGCAGCCACCACGACTCCTGCCCAGGTCTGCAGAGATGCTGTTGGGTATAGCCAGCCACTCTTCCAGGAACCTAACTCCGAGCCAGTGCTTCTCCTTCAACCTGACCTACTTCCTACTCGGGTTCAGCTGTGGTTTAGGTCCTGGCATCGGCCTCTTGCTGGCGAGAGGAGTCCCCTAGTGAGATAGACTGTGACAGTGCGTGGAAATGATTTCCCATCCCTTCTGTTGATCAGAAGCAAGTCAGCGCTGCTGCCTGTCTAGGAGGGGTTACCTGTGGCAGGAGCCCAGATGCAGGAGGAACACCTGGGTGAGCACCAGCGCTGTGGAGACCCGTGCCAAAGAATACTGAGCAGTGGACCCACGGGACGGGATTCTGAGTTCATAGAGCAGAAATGTGGAGCTGAGAGGAGAGATGGCAATCCCGAGGGCAGTGCGGACCTCAGCATCCTCCCTTTCAGGAAGGACAGACAGGTGCACAGACTGACACAGCCCCCAAACACCCAGGCCTACCTGAGTTCTACAGAATGTTTCATAGTAACAGGATGCGTCCTTCCAAGGCACATGGAATTGTTCAGTAACAACATGGTACTCTGGGCCGTTAAACCACAACCGATTTAAAAGAGTAGAAACCACACAAATATGTTAATGGGCTGTAGTAGAATTCAGTTAGAAATCAGGAACAGCAAGGTAGCTGGAAAAATCCCTAAGCATTTTAGAATTAAATGATTTACTTCTAAATTTTCCATGACTCAGAGTTGAGAAAATACAAAAATATTTTGAACTGAATGAATGAAAAGAGAGCATCGCATTTGGGAGGTGGAACTAGAACCTTACTTCAGGGGTCGTTGATGGCATTAAACTCGTACATTTGATTGACAAAAGGTCTTGTGTGCTGAGTGGAGCACCTGTGACATGGTGTTTGGACTGCACAGTGTGTGTGATGTGGCATGTGGCCCCACATAGTGTGTGTGTGACATGGCCCATGGCCCCGCACAGCGTGTGTGGGCGTGGCCTGTGGCCACACAGTGTGCGTGGGATGTGGTGCGTGGCCGTGCACAGTATGTGTACGATGTGTCACGTGGCCATGCACAGAGTGTGCGTGTGACGTTGCACACGGCCCTGCCCAGAGCATTGTGGTGTGCCTTGTGTGTTCTCTGCAGGTACATCGAGTACATGTGTGACATGGTGGCAGAGGAGCCCATCATGCCCCACAGCAAGCCGATCCTGGTGCGGGCTGTTGTCATGACGCCTGTGCCACTGTTCAACAAGCAGAGGAGTGGCTGCAGACCCTTCTGTGAGGTGTATGTGGGGGATGAGCGCGTGGCCACCACGTCCCAGGAGTACGACAAAATGAAGTGAGCGCGGAGTTCAGGGCGCTCCTGTTCCTCTGGGGAAGGAGGAGGGAGCCGTTGCTGGGAGGCGAGGGAGGGACCTTGGTAGCTGAAGCTCTGCCTCAGCTTCCACTAGGAGCAGCAAGCAGGCTTCACTGCTAGGCCTGGGCCTGGGGACGGGCGGGCCTGGCAGAAGGGCAGGTATGGAGGTTTCCATGATGTCCTGCTGAGGAGCAGCTTCTTAGAATTCATTTCCTGGAGTGCCCACTCCTGAAATAGTTTGTAGCAAGCCCAGGAAGACCAGACTGCATGGAGTGGGGCCTTGGTGCTTCAGGAGGACTGGCAGCTGATTCCACAGGGTTATGTTTTTGTCTCACGGGACCCTCTCCTCATTCTGCTCTTAGGGACTTTAAAATTGAGGACGGCAAAGCGGTCATTCCCCTGGGCACAACCGTCCAAGGGGACGTGCTCATTGTGATCTACCACGCAAGATCCACCCTGGGAGGAAGACTGCAGGCCAAGGTGAGCGTGCTTGATGGCCTGGGCCCCACGGGCTGGGTGCTCAAGAGGGGCTGATGAGCTCTGACCTCTCCTTCTGTGCCCACCCGCAAAGTGCAGGGCGGAGGGGTTTAGACTGAGACCTGAGTTTTCCTCACATTACGGCATTGCCATCTGCATGGAGGTCTTGGGACCCTGAGGAGTCACTTGTCAGAGAGGGTGCCATCCCCCCGTCCCCATATCCTCGGCACTGGGAGCTGTGCACAAGGCTCTCAGAGCTCATAAACTAGTGTCTGATGTGAAGTCTGGTGTCACCTCCCAGCTCACGGTTGTGCTGTGTTGCTCTCTCTCCAGATGGCATCCATGAAGATGTTCCAGGTCCAGTTCCACACAGGATTTGTGCCTCGGAATGCGACCACTGTGAAGTTTGCCAAGTGTGTTGGTGTCACACGTGGGAGGGAAAAGGGGCGGAGTGCTGGCAGGTGTCTTGGGGAAGGGGCTGGACCGAGATGACTCTGTCCATGCACAGGGTGGGATGTGTGAGTTCTTTACCTCATGAAGGAAAGAATTCAAGATATAAGTCCAGGTGACTTTAAGAGTCCACTTATTAAAGCTGGGGACAGAGACAAGTACGGGCTTAGGGTAGAAGAAGCAGGATCACAACAGCGGGAGTGAGCCCAGCTGTGGCTCCTCTGGCTCCGACAGAAGTCGTAGTGGCAGGGCCCTTGAGACAGGGTCAGGCATTAGCCTGGGATGTGCTGCCACAGCCCCTGCTCCCCTGGGTGCAAGTCTTGTTGGAACCCTCAGAGCTTAGGACAAAGAGCAGAAGTGCACACTGAGAAAAGGGGGCATGGGTGTGCTCAGGGGAGTGGTGCCTGTCCTTTCCAGAGGAGGGCTTTCATCTGTTTCCTGTATGTGGGTTTGGGGGAGGTCTTGGCACATTCATCAGCTTCTCAGGTGTCTCGGGCTGATGCATCAGGATGGGTGTGTGGTGCGCTCTGGGATGTCATCAGCTTCACCTCTGTCTTGGGTCTGTCTGGTTCTGACCGTGGTTCTTGTTTATTTCCAACCTTGTCTGGCACTCATGGCACTAACTGGGTCTCTGTTACTCCCTTCCTGGGTTGGGGAGGAGAAGTGTAAACCATCATCAGCCCCTCAGTGTCTTTGGTGACTCATTAGCTGCTCGTTACTGGCTGTTTGCTCTACTCTTTGTCTCAGTTCCCTCATTCTACTCGTCGGGGAACTTTCCCTTTTACTAACCTGCCTCATAGGGACACACCCACCATGGTCCCATGTGGGAGGGGCAGAGTGCCAGCACCGTGGACAGGAATAGGTTCTCTCATGGCCATTTGCCAGGTTGGACTTCAGTCCTTGCCTGTCCCAGATCTGAGGTGTTCAGTTTCCAGGACCCCTCCTCAGAAAGACCATGGGCTTCCACTGGGCACCTTGGTTTCTAGGCAGAGACCGAGAACAATGTGGCAGGACCAGGTGAAAGGTGTTCATTGCGCGCCACCACTTTTATTGAGTACCTGCTATGTGCAAAGCACTCTGCTGGACAGCGAGATTGGGGTGAAGAGACACTCACGGTCTGGTTTAGAGATAAACTTGAGCAACTAAGCTGAGGAGCAGGCCTCTGTCCTCACCTGGCTTGACTCGGTTCACTGCATTCCTCACACAGCTCGTTAAAGCTGCAGTGCTAGAGGCCTGGCAACGTACATCCAGCCTCTCATTCAGCTTTTTAAATTTTTTATTTTTATTTTTTAAACTTCATCCTCACCTAAGGATGTTTTTATTGATTTTAGAGAGAGGAAGTGAGGGGAGAAACGTCGATGTGAGAGAGAAGCTTCAATGGGTTGCTTCTCATACGAGCCCTGACCTGGAATAGAACCCGCAACCCCAATATGTGCCCTGACTGGGAATCACACTCGCAACCTTTGGTGTATGCGACAACGTACAACCAACTGAGCCGCCTGGCTAGGGCTCAGCTTATGTTTTAGATGGAGACATGGAGACTCTGGGCTTGGCAGCTGAACTAACTAAGCCAGTGTGGGGCAGAACAGGTGTCCACACTCAGGGCCTGATCTAGCTGCTATGCTCTCTGCTCGGGCACACACACACAAGCGCGCACACACACTCACACACTGTGGGAAACCCAGACACAGCATGTTCCAGCAGCAAGAGGGGGCCTGCCAGGAGGCTCCAGAGACAACTGCTGCAGCTCCTCTGGCCTGCACTCCCCACACTCCCGTGTCCTGCCCAGTGCCAGGGCGTAATTAGGACACAACCCCAGGGTCCTGGAGAACTGAGCTCTGACCCTGGGTCCTGGGGGGCTCAGCACACTCATGCAGGTGATGTGCCTTGTGGGGCCTGCCCCTGGTGCAGGCTCGGGAAAAGCGTCCCCAGTGCCAGGAAACCATGTGTTATTACTCTTTCTATATTTTTACTTCCTTGTTTCTGTAGTGTGTTTTTTTCATACTGATACTTTAAAATTTTTGTGATGTTCTGATACGAAAAGACCACAGAGAGGAGGAGTGTTACAGCTTTCACGTTTCTGGGTCCTCCCCTCTTTTGGAGGAAGATGACTCCCAGAGCTTCGACATTTTCAGCCACGAGCAAGCACACTTGTTTCAAAGACCAAATGGGAAAGCCGAAGAGGAAAAGGTAGATGGCGGTGCACAGTTGAGTCGGAAGCTGGGATGGTTGAGGACTTGGAACAACTGAATAACATATTCAAGAAAATGGAAGGTGGGCTTTTGCTCGAGGCCTGGGCTGTGTGAACGGCGCAGGCGCAAGTTCGGGAACTAGAGCTGTTCAGTCACAGAGCAGACCCAGCAGAACACAGGAGTCAGGGTTGGTAGAAAATGTCTTCAGACTCAGCATAGAGGGCGGCGGGAGCCACAGAAAGGGTCACGAGAGCACTCAGGAGACCCCGGCGAGCCCTGCATGCCTTCATTTGGGGTCCTCAGAGGAGAAGGCGTAGAGCAGAAGTAATGTTTGAAAACCTGCTGGCTAAAAGTTTGTTAGACTGATGAAAGACATCAAACCTTAGACGCAAAAGCCTTCTTTATGTCTGGCCGGTGTGGCTCTGTGGTTGAGCGTCAACCTGTGAACCAGGAGGTCATGGTCCAATTCTGCTCAAAGGAAAAAATTGCCAATTTGGAGTTCTATCTCCAGGGAAACTCCTTCAGAAACGAAAGTCGGGTAGATGTTTTCAGACCAGTGTTTGCAGTTCATACTCAGGCGAAGCTCACACGCCCAGGACCTGTGAAGAATTAGATTGAGAAGGGAAAAGGTCCTAGTGGGTGGTGAGTTCATGGGAAGGTGCTCACCACCGTTGCACATCAGGGAAGCACAAAGCCGCTTTGTCCTCTGACGAAAATGGCTAAAATGAAAGACACTTCTGGAAGCTGGAGGATGGGGAGCAGTGGGAGTGGGGTGAAGCCACTCTGGGAAGTGCTCTTGCTGGGTGTCTGCCTGTGTCCCCAAGAAGTAAGTGCTTAGGACCAAAATAGACTCAGCCAAAAGTGTTCCCAGCAGCACTGTTCTTTCTTCATGGGTGTGATGGGCACATTAGTTTCAGGGGTACAATGTGATTTGTTAATGTATGTGCTGTGCAATGATCACAGTACGTCTAGTTAATGTCCATCACCACGTAGTTATGAATTCTTTTTTTGTGGTGTGAACAAGACCTCTCTGTTAGCAGCTTTCAAGTACATGACAAAGTTGTTAACTACAGTCGCTGCGCTGTACCTGGCAGCTGTTTTGTTTTTTTCAATCCTCACCTAAGGATATTTTTTCTACTGCTTTTCAGAGAGAGTAGAAAGGAAAGAGAGAGAAACATTGATGTGAGACAGAAACATCGAGTGGTTGCCTCCTGCACAGGCCCCAACCCCCCCCTCCCCCCAGCTGGTGATAGAGCCTGCAATCTAGGTATGTGCCCTTGGCTGGAATCGAACCCAGGACCCTTCAGTCCGCGAGCCGATGCTCTAACCAGTGAGCAACACTGGCCAGAGCTGACAGCCATGGTAACCGAGTAGAAAAACCCGGCGGTGGTGGATAGCACACTGGCGAACTCACGCTCCAGCGGCGGGTGCAACTTGCAACACACAGCTGTGAGCAGAGGGACTCGGGTCACATGGCCCCGTTTTATGGGCTCAGGCCTCGTGTGGTCATGACAGCCATTGAGTGGCTCCTGGGTGGGAGGGTGGCTTGGAGAGGCACAGAGACCTTGGGGCTGGGAATGGCTTTCTTTGAATGTCTGGTTACACAGGTTTGGAGGTGGATGTGTGCTTGGGTCTGTGCATCACTGTGGTGCCTCCAGGAGTGGGTCGTCAGTTGTGGAGGCGGCGGTGGGGGCTCCCTGGAGCAGGCACCTGTGTGTCTGCAGGCAGGCTCCCCTGTAGACAGCTGAAGGACAGAGAATGGAACTGGGGATGGCATTGCTGGGATGCACTGTCGGATGGCCTGACTAGGTCCGTTCTCGGCAAGGTGTCCTGCGGCAGGCAGGTCCCCAGGTTGTTGAAGTGGGGAAGGGTTCCCTCCCTGGCACAGGTTGTGCTTTTGTTTCTTGCCAAGCCTGTCAGGAGCGCAGTAGGCCTGAGCCCTGTGCCCTCTGAAACCCCGGGCCCGTGGCTGCCTCCCTGCTCACAGGCCCTCATTGTGCCCTCACTGCCTGCTGGCGAGCAGCTAGGCCCAGGCCAGTCTCCTGGGGCCAGTGAGGGTGGGGAGGCGGGGTGGGCGGCCACCAGTGCGGTGCTCAGCGCTGAGCCGCAGGGGCCATGAGCCCCTTGGTGTGGCCCCCGCCTCGCTCCCTCCTCCCTGGCCCTCGCTAGCAGCTGGATTCCTGCTTCCCCGGCATTGCTGTCTTGCTCACCGCCTCTTTGTCCCTCTGTAGCTGCTCCTGCCTGGTTGAGAGGTGGCCTGTGTTGTCTTCTTGCTGCGGGTGCCCAGACTAGAGAGGAAGGCAGGCCGTGGTGGCCTCTGGGCTGGGAGTGAGTAGACGGGGGATGCTGCCATCTGAGAAGTGGGTGACGTGGGCGGCTGTGCGCTCTGCGCTGCATCCTGTCCCGTGCTGAGGTTGTGTCCGTAGGAGGGAGGGCTTGAAGCGGGCGTCACCCCTAGGTCGTGCTCTCGTGGGTTTTATTTTGGGGAGAGTCTGCTGTGGCTCTGCTGCCCTTGCTAACTACATGTGCGGCTGTCTCCGCGGCCCCTTCTGCGCCCAGTGGTTGTGGTTGGTTTTGGGTGGGTGTCCCATGGACAGTGGAGGACGGCAGGTTCCCTCCCTGCACACCTTGGGTCTCAGGAACCTGCTGCCATCTTTGTGTTCATTTTTTCTGTTGTTTTACTGCTTCGATACACATAGAACAGTGATGCACACAGGCCCCTGGTGGCGTAGACAGCTTGACCCTGGGAGCCTGCTGCTGCTGAAGAGCATTGGCACCATTAGTGAGAATGCTGTCAGAGGTGGTCGTGGGGAGCCTGTGAACTTATGGAGTTTCCTAGAGAGGTGCAGAGCCACAGTTAGGATGGTCAGTGGGTGGCAACTGAAGTACCACTGCCAGCTCTCCCCGACACACCTGTGTCCCACCTGTGCCCCACATGTGCCCGGCCCCTGGCCGCTGCCCCCAGTACCACTTGGAGACTGGAGTCTCCAGCTTCCAGCCTTGTCCCCTTTCCCTCCCAGCAGGGGAGGCGCGGAAGGTGCTGCCTCCCTGGCCCACAGCGAGCATGGCACCAAGCTGCCCGTCCCTGCAGGCGATGGTGGGGTCTTCATCTCACGGCACCTGTTAACCATTGGGGAGTTTTGCCAGGGTGGACGGCATCATTTTCATGGATACACATTTACCTAATATCTGATGTCCTGACCTGAACCCAGCACCCAGGAGGTGAGGGCAGGCTCAGTGCTCCCGACAAGCTGGGCGCTGCTCTGAGGGGTGCACAGACCCTTTGCCGCAGTGCTTGTGCAGCCAGAGTGAGTTGCAGCGGGTGGGCTTCTGGACTATCCCCACCACCATGCCTGTGCCTGGAGAGCACACGGCCTGCTGTGTGCACATCTTCGGGGCACAGTGGGGTGGCCTGTGGAACCCGTCATCTCCTTCCACCTGCAGGTATGACCTGGACGCCTGTGACATTCAGGAGAAATACCCAGACTTGTTCCAAGTGAACCTGGACGTGGAGGTGGAGCCCCGAGACAGGCCCAGCCGGGAGGCCCCACCCTGGGAGAGCACGAGCATGCGAGGGCTGAACCCCAAAATCCTCTTTTCCAGCCGTGAGGAGCAGCAGGACATCCTGTCTAAATTTGGTGAGATCCTTGCTCTGGCTTCAGCACCAGGAACCCTCAGGGTCAGGCTGTGTGTGGGGTGCGGGGAGGCTTGGGGCCTCCACCTTAGGGACGGAGTATTTGCAATGTCCAAGTTCTGCCCATGCCCACTGTGCACACCGAGCAGCCCCCACCCTGGGGATAGTCGCAGGCAGGGCTGGGACCCACAAGAGCATCAGGTCTGAGTCACGCTGGTCAGAGGGCTTGTTCTTGGATGTTCATCCACTTCATATGTGACCTGGAGATGTTGAGGCCTCTCGGGACCAGCGAGGCCACCGGCACCCCAGAGCTTTTTCCTAGCCACTCCCCCCACTTAGCTCAGTTATCTCGTCTTATTTCAGAGCAATTACAAAAAAGGTAGCATAGGAAGTGCACTGGCTGGTAGGACTCAGGTTCCGCCTGCTGACCACAGCACAGTGTGCTTCACGTTCTGGGTTGCATTTTTACATTTTCTCATATGAAGACAGCTAAGTACCCCTGAAAGTGTGTGTGTGTGTGTGCGCGCTATATGAGTGTGTGCATGTGTGTGCACGAGCATGTGTGCATGTATGTGTGTGTGTGCATGTGTGTACGTGTGTGAGCAGGCCAACGTCTGAGCCTGCACTGGGATCCATTCACAGACTGACCCTTGGTGGCTGTCAGCACAGGGTCCTGGAGGTCTGGCTGGGCTGCTGCAGTGGTGGTGCATCTGGGGCTGGGTGGCCTGATGCCCTCCTCTCCCAGCAGGGAAGCCCGAGCTCCCCCGGCAGCCAGGCTCCACTGCTCAGTACGACGCTGAGATGGGATCTCTTGACACTGAGCCCACAGAGTCAGAATCACCCCAGAGCAGCAGCACTGATACCAACCACTTCCTGCACACGCTGGACTGGCAGGGTAGGCACTGCGGGGACATGCCTAGGCCCCTCGCTTCTCTGAGCATCTCCATTCCCCCTCGGGCCTGCAGGCCTGAGCTCCCTCAGCTTGTTTTCACACCCTCTGTCCCGGCCTCCTGCGGGGCCTGTCCCCACCGCCTGTCTGTGGTGACTTCTGCCTGTCAGCATGCTGCTTTCTTTCAGAGGAGAAAGACTCGGAGATGGGCCCAGAAAGTAACATTGCCCAGGAGACTCCCTCTGCCCCCGCTGAGGACGCATGTGAGAGCGAGCCGTCGGATGAGTGCGCGGCAACCCTCTCTGCTGAGAGCAGGGACACGGCCGACGAAGACACGCCAGGCCTGGCAGCGAAGGCGCAAGAGCAAGAGTTGATTTTTGATGCAAACACGCCCACCACGCCACAGGAACCCATGCGGCCCGAGGATGGCGTTGACCTCCTGGGGCTGCACTCTGAGGCGGGGCCGGCACCCCCCTCACAGGGCCCCGTGGGCCCCCCCAGCAACGCTGACCTCCTCAGCTGCCTCCTGGGAGCCCCTGAGGCTGCTCCCGAGGGTCCCCCAGGCGATCTCCTCAGTGGGGAGACTCCCCTGCTCTTCACAAGCCCTGCCCCTACAACAAGCACGCCTGCTGTGTCCGGTACGTGCGAGCAGATGAGAGATTTCAATGGTTCTGCCTCTAGGTCTGTGAGCTGGTGCCCGGCCTGGGTGGAGCTCTGAGAGTGGATGGGTGGGGGTGCAGGCGGGTGCTGTGGGCTCTGGTTCCACCGCCTGTCCTGAGCTCCAGCCCTTCCCTCTCAGCTGCTGTCTCAGAAAGTCAGGCAAGAGCATTGGCCGAGGATGTGCCCAGCTCTCAGTCTCTCGTGTCATCCTGGGTCTGCCAGGTTATCTTGTTGTCTGTGGTCCGCGCATGATGCTCTGGTTGAGGTGCTGCTGTGGTGCCTGCACAGGGGCTCACCTCCCTGCTCCTTGGTGTCTCTGCAGCCCACCCGTTTGACCCTCTCCTGCTGACATCCCATCCAGACGCCCAGCCCTGCCCCAAGCCCAACCTCTTTGGTGAATTTGTTAATTCGGACTCTCTGACTGCCCAGTCTGCAACCTTCCCCTCCACCCACAGCGCCCCACCCCCGGCCTGCAGCACCGACTTCCTACAGCTGGGTGAGTGCGGTTGAGAGGCCAACAGAGGGGCCACTGTGTATCCCGGGCTGAGCCCTCCCAGCTGCAGGTCCTCCCTCCCCTGGAGGGGGATGTGACCCTCTGGTGTCCACCCCTCAAGCTCTGCTAGGTGTTTGGGGAGGTTGGAGGAGGTTCTGGGGGTGCTATGTGCACCCGTGAGCGAGTGTGTGGGCCACCTGCGGGGAAGGGTGACATGCAGCATAGTCCTGGAAGCTTCTCCACTTGCTCCCCCATCCACCTGGTCATTTCAGATGTCCGTGATGTGTGCTTAGCCTGGCGGGGAGGCTGGTCCATATTGGCTGAGCCCAGTGCTCAGCATGGCCTCTGCCTGGGGCACTTGGCCAGCTAGTGGGGGGGTGTATGGGGCTTGTGGCCCACTTGTCCCCTCGGGGCCCCCAGGAGGCCATGTGAAGGCCACAGCCCACCTCCACCAGGGGACACATCAAATGGTGCCACTCTCTTCCAGGGGATGTGCCAGCAGAGCCCAGCAAGATGACAGCTTCAGCCAGCCACCCAGACCTGCTGGGAGGATGGGATGCCTGGGCTGAGGCACCAGCCCCCACACCGGCCACAGAAGGTACGACCCTGCCCCTTTTTTCGTTTCACCAGGATGGAACCATAACCCCTCCCAGAGGAGACTGTCGGGGCACACCGTGGGGCTACCTGCCCTTCTTCTCAGCCCACTGTGTGGCCCAGCGGGTGTGCACAGGTGCAGCCCAGAGCCTGTCACGTGGTCCCTTCCTCATCTCCTGTGGAGTGTGTGTGTGACAGTCCGTTCCCGACTTTCACCCGTACATTGCTTAGTGTGTTCTTGTGTCCTGTGGCTACTGTGCCTCTGGTGGACCCCTTTGGGAGACTGCACTTGTCCCAGGGCTGTGCCCTGTCCTAGGGACGTGGAGGGGGAGGGGTCCAGCATTTCACTTGGGAAATGTCCATTTGCGAGTTGCTGTGGAAGGTGATCATGTTGATAAGGCCTGTGACACGTGTCCCTCTAGGACCTTCTAGTGAGTAATGTTCCAGGAGCCGTCCCAGCCTCGGCCCCTCCCCGAGCTGGCTGAGGACTGACGACGGCCTGTTTTCCTACTGTGATGGCCGTCGGTTGCTGTCATCTGCAGCCCACTATTATACCTGAGGCTGACTATTGCTTTATGGTTTGGTTATTTGCGTTTCTTAGAGAACTGTTTTCTGTTCTTTAATAATTTTTGGCATTGAAAACACATCTTCTGCCTATCAGTTTATAAGAGAGAGAGCCCTTTATGTGTGAGTAGCCTTCATTTGTAATAACTGATATTCCTCCAAGTGGCTGTACAGTAATTTACTCAGATACTTGTTCAGTCTCTAATACTTAGACTATTCTCAAACTCACACTCTCATAAAGAGTGCTGCACATCAACAGAGCGAGGAGAGCCCACTGTGTGGCCAGTGCGCCAGGGATGCATCTGGTACAGGGTGAATTCCCATAATATATAAAGAAATCACACAATGCAACAGCAGGACAAATGTCCAGTTAAAAATGGGCCCTGGCTGGGTTGGTTCAGTGATTAGAGCATCGGCTCAGAGGATGCTCAAGGCCATGTGCCTTGGTTTCAGTTTGGTCCCCGGCCCTGATCCCTGGCCCTGGCTGGGGTGCGTACGGGGGAGGCAGCTGATCGATGTGTCTCTCTTGTCAATGTTCCTCCCTCTCTTTTCCCTCCTCCGTCCTTTCCACACTCTCTAAAAATCAATGAAAAAAATATATCATTGGGTGAAGATTTAAAAAAAGGGTAAAGGACCTGAATAGATTCTCCTCCAAAGAGGAGATACAGATGGTCAGTAGACAGGAAAAAGCTCTGTGTCACTCATCACAGAGAGATGCAGATTAAACCACAACGAGGTATCACCTCACACCTGTCAGAATGTCCACCATCAACAAACGACAAGTGCTGGCGAGGGTGTGGGGAAAGGGGAGCCCTGGTACACTGCTGGTGGGAATGCAGACTGGTGCAGCCACTATGGAAAACAGTGTGGAGGTCCCTCAAAAAATTAAAAATGGAGCTGTCCCAGTGATCCCACTCCTAGGAATATATCCTAAGAACCCTGAAACACTAATCAGAAAGAACGTATACTCCCCTATATTCATAGCAGCACAGTTTACAATAGCTAAGATCTGTGCCCATCAGTAGATGAGTGGATAAAAAGCTGTGGGATGTTTGCACCATGGAATACTATGCAGCTATAAAGAAGAAGGATCTTGTGCCCTTTGGGACGGCATGGAGGGAACTGGAGAGGACTACGCTAAGGGAAATAAGCCAGGCAGAGAAAGACAAGTACCACATGATCTCACTTGTATGTGGAATATAATGAACAAAATAAACAAAGTGGAAACGGACTCATAAATACAGAAAACAGACTGACAGCTGCTAGAGGGGAGGGGGGAGGGAGAACTGGATGAAAGAAGGTGAAGGGATTAGCCTGAGAACACTTACACACAGCCCACAGTCACAGACATCAATGTGGTGTCCAGGGGAAGAGGGAACCAGCTGGGTGGAGGTGGCAAAGGGGTGAGGGGAAATGGGGACATCTGTTGTAATTGTGTCAACGGTAAAAATAAAAGTAAAAAAATAAGACTGTTACAAAGCACATTCTCACTTTAAGGAGGTTCCAGGGAGTGCTGTCACACAGTGTCAGGAGAGTACAGCATTTTCAGACCCTTGTACCCATTAGGGCGTCTTCCACAGGAGCAGCGGGGGGGCCATGGGGCAGTTCTGGGCATGTGCATGGCCATGCCCTGGATTGGCGCTCTGTCTTAGCTTGTGAGGCCTTCAGGAGCATTGGGCTGGAAGGCTGGGCTGCACCTCGCTTCAGTTCACTTGTTCACCGTCTTTTGTCTTCCAGGCCCCTTCTTCTCTCCTGGAGGCCCACCGGCCCCGCCTGGCCCCCCGGCCAGCCGGACCAAGTCTCAGAACCTGGACCCGTTTGCAGACCTCGGTGACCTCGGTTCCAGCCTCCAAGGTAACGTGCAGGGCGTGTGCAGTGCCAGGCCTGCTTGCGGGAGGGTTCAGTCCTTCTGTCCTCTTCCCGCTCCCTCTGCCAGACTCAGGTGCCCTAGGTGGGACCTTCACCTCCATTCACCGAGGTACAGGGCCCAGTGACACGAGGAACAGCCCGTCTGCTCCTGTGGCAGGGGCTTGTTAAACAACCCACCTCGAGCAGGTGCTAGACCTGGCTCTTCACGGGCATCACAGTGTGTGTGGGCCGTCTGAGGAGCAGGGCCTCAGCGTGGAGGACCCAGTGTCATGCCTGCCTCTGCTGGAGCTGACCTGATGGCCTGTCCCTGGGTTCCCCCAGCTCCTCCAGAAACTGTGGGTATCTGAGAGTCTCTCCTCTCTTAGCAGTTGGGTGGCATGTGGAACTTCTCGTTAGAAGTAGCATCTCCTCAGAATGCTTGTTATTTGGAGTTATCTGGCGCCTGGCCCTTGGCTGGCGTCTCCCCCCTGGAACATTGGGGCCACTCCCTGAAGCCCTGTGCTGGCGCCCCTGAACCTTGGCTTAAAAGCTGAGGTTCTCAGCACTGAGGCTCCCTACTGTCGCTCTCCCCTCTGACCCATCACTGCCTTCGCCTCCTGCTCACGCTGTGGTTGGGTCTTTGGTTGGGTCTGTGGGGCCGGCGTCCACCTTGCATCTTGTGTGTGTGGAGGGCTCCTTCTGCTACTGTCTTGTTGAGTCTTGGGAGGTTTTCATTTCTGGGATAGTTCATTTTTTAAATAGTTTCCTGGAGTGAGGTTGCAGTGTCTCTCAGGCATTCTTGGAAGTTAGGGTTGTCTGGCTCCGACCCTTGCGTGGCCTCTATCTTAGGCCGTTTGAGTGTGGATGGGGCCACAGGAACCACCTGGTGCTGCCTGGGCTATGGGCTGCAGATCCTGTGCGGAAAGGACTTGTCAGGATCCAAGTTGCCATTCTCAGGATGGAACCCAACTCTCAGTCCTGCACTACGACCCGAGACCCTCTGTCATACTTCCTGCGAAATAGGATTTTGAATAAAGCTGATGGTACTGAAAGGAGAAATAGATTGTTCTGGAGCCCTCAGCATCCCTCTTCACCAAATGTGGAGAAACTGCTCGGTGGCCAGCAAGCGAAAGGGACTTGGAGGCACTGTCAGCCCCTGGGAGCTCAGCGTGGCCCACTCGTGGGGCTCGGCACCAGCTGCCAAGGGCGCATGTCCTCATGCACCTGTGGGTCCTCCACCAAGACGCTGTGACCTGGCAGGAAACAGACCCAGGTGCATTCGATAGGACAGATCACAGCTCGTCGCCACACTCTGACCCCATGGGGTCAGCTGGAATCAGGAGCAGCAGGGAACTGAACCCGTGCAGGTAACACAGGTGGTCTCAGAGTATGGGGAGGGGGCACATTGCACTGAGTGAAGGTGGAGGCAGGAAACACGAAACCCGGGGTGTTGTGTGGCTCCCACAGTGCGAAGAGGGGAGCATCTGCATCAAGTGCCACTTTGGAGAAGATAAGACATCCCATCAGAACTGGAGCCCTCTTCTCAAGGTGCCTGAGAAGCGGAGCAACATAAACTCAAAGCAAATGGAAGGAAATAAAGAACCAAAACCAGTGAAACAGGAAACAGAAACAGTAAAGGAAGTTAATTTAAACAAAAGGCTGGTTCTTCGAAGAGATTGATAAAATTGACAAAGCTCTGCTAAGACAAAATCTAAACAGGAAGGTGACACGAGGGGCCAGTGTCAGGAGTGACGAAGTCAGCACTGGCTTTGAGAACAAGGAAGCGGAGCCCCGCCTGTGGGTGTGACAGCTGACGTACGTGAGGTGTGCGGTCTCCACAGCCAGCTACACCAAACTCACGTGTGGAGTAGGTCATTGGAGTGCTTTATAACTAAAGAAATGAGCTTATAGTTTAAAAAACCTCCCAAAAAGGAAATCTCCAGGCTTCGATGGTTTCATCGGAGGGTTTTATCACACTTAGCCTGTTCCCCGTAGCCTCTTCCAGGAGTTGGGAAGAGGTGGGAACACTCCCAGTTGATTTTTGTGAAGCTAGAATCACCCTCATACCAAAACCAGACCAAGACGGCCCAAGAGAAGGAAAGTACAGGGCAGCCTCCTGCAAACACGACACAAACTCCACAGCAGAGACGGGCAGCAGAACTGTCAGTGGGCGAGGCCCCACCACAGGCAGCGGGGGCTGCCCAGGACCTGGAGGCCGGCTCCACACCCAGTGCAGCTGAGACCTGGAGGCCGGCTCCACACCCAGTGCAGCTGAGACCTGGAGGCCGGCTCCACACCCAGTGCAGCTGAGACCTGGAGGCCGGCTCCACACCCAGTGCAGCTGAGACCTGGAGGCCGGCTCCACACCCAGTGCAGCTGAGACCTGGAGGCCGGCTCCACACCCAGTGCAGCTGAGACCTGGAGGCCGGCTCCACACCCAGTGCAGCTGAGACCTGGAGGCCGGCTCCACACCCAGTGCAGCTGAGACCTGGAGGCCGGCTCCACACCCAGTGCAGCTGAGACCTGGAGGCCGGCTCCACACCCAGTGCAGCTGAGACCTGGAGGCCGGCTCCACACCCAGTGCAGCTGAGACCTGGAGGCCGGCTCCACACCCAGTGCAGCTGAGACCTGGAGGCCGGCTCCACACCCAGTGCAGCTGAGACCTGGAGGCCGGCTCCACACCCAGTGCAGCTGAGACCTGGAGGCCGGCTCCACACCCAGTGCAGCTGAGACCTGGAGGCCGGCTCCACACCCAGTGCAGCTGAGACCTGGAGGCCGGCTCCACACCCAGTGCAGCTGAGACCTGGAGGCCGGCTCCACACCCAGTGCAGCTGAGACCTGGAGGCCGGCTCCACACCCAGTGCAGCTGAGACCTGGAGGCCGGCTCCACACCCAGTGCAGCTGAGACCTGGAGGCCGGCTCCACACCCAGTGCAGCTGAGACCTGGAGGCCGGCTCCACACCCAGTGCAGCTGAGACCTGGAGGCCGGCTCCACACCCAGTGCAGCTGAGACCTGGAGGCCGGCTCCACACCCAGTGCAGCTGAGACCTGGAGGCCGGCTCCACACCCAGTGCAGCTGAGACCTGGAGGCCGGCTCCACACCCAGTGCAGCTGAGACCTGGAGGCCGGCTCCACACCCAGTGCAGCTGAGACCTGGAGGCCGGCTCCACACCCAGTGCAGCTGAGACCTGGAGGCCGGCTCCACACCCAGTGCAGCTGAGACCTGGAGGCCGGCTCCACACCCAGTGCAGCTGAGACCTGGAGGCCGGCTCCACACCCAGTGCAGCTGAGACCTGGAGGCCGGCTCCACACCCAGTGCAGCTGAGACCTGGAGGCCGGCTCCACACCCAGTGCAGCTGAGACCTGGAGGCCGGCTCCACACCCAGTGCAGCTGAGACCTGGAGGCCGGCTCCACACCCAGTGCAGCTGAGACCTGGAGGCCGGCTCCACACCCAGTGCAGCTGAGACCTGGAGGCCGGCTCCACACCCAGTGCAGCTGAGACCTGGAGGCTGGCTCCACACCCAGTGCAGCTGAGACCTGGAGGCAGGCTCCATACCCAGTGCAGCTGAGACCCCGCCACGTCCACTGGCCCCGTCAGCAGTGCAGGGAGGCATGTGACACTCAGCACCGTGACTGATACACCAGCTGGCGACGAGAACGTCCTCTGCTCAGTAACGACCATCTGCAGACCCTGTCGCCACCTCACCCTGGACGGTGACTGCCCTCTCACAGAGGCGGGAGCAGGAAGAAGTCACACATGGGAAGGGAGAAGTAACACTACTGTAGGTGACGTGCGTGTCTGTGTGGCGGGCCTCAAGGCACCTCTGAAAACCACCTGATCCAGGGAGTGAGTTCCACTGACAGGCCCCCGGATACAGGAGCCACAGGCGAACAGCAGTCATGTCTACTGATAGCTGTGTGCACAGGGAACCCCAGGCCAAAACGGTGCCGTTAACCGCCACTGAGAAAGGGCACCCTTCAGCATGACTGACGACACATGCAGTGAAACTGCACAACCACACGTGATGAAGAAAACCAGACAGGCTAGGCTCCCAGGCAGGAGGACCCGGCACAATGTGGTGGACAGGTCTCCCCAGATCTGAGGGTTCAGTAGTTCCCGCCAAAACCTAGCAAGGATTTCTGTAGACACAGCAGGCTTGTGGTAGTGTGTTTGGAAAGTCAGAGCTGGCATGACTGGTATGATGTCCAGTGGCGGAGGAGCCTGGGAGAAATCCATGTGCCTGGATTGCGGCTCGCTCTGCAGCCACGGAAATCGGGACTGGGTGGTGTTGGCAGGAGGGTACACACAGGTCGAGCGGACAGAGTAGAGGACCCAGAAAGGGCTCACGAGGAGACCAGCTGAGTTTTGACAGGTGCCAGAGCGACCTGCGGGTGGTGCTGGAACATTGCACGTCTGTCCGCAGACAACAAGGTAGCCTCACACCGAGCCCCACGCCTCATACCTCCCTCAGGTGGCTCAGACCTGGTCGTGGGTTAAGTGCACGAAGTGGAGCTGTAAGGCCTCGAGGAGAGAACGGACATCTGGGACCTAGGGCCCATAATGGAAGACATTGGTAGTTTGGACTTAATGGAAATGAAGTCTCCCGCCCAGGTGAGGACTGCACTGATGGAGAGACAAGCTGCAGGTCTGGAAAAAACGCTTTCAAGCCACGCAGAGCTCACCTCTAGGACTCGTAAGTACAGAGAGGCCTCAGTGTCCTCGATAGGCTCCGCCCTCGACCTGAAGTGAAAGGATGTGTTGCGCTCAGGCCAACGGTGCGAACAAAGGTGACGTCCCACACCCGGCACCTCATCAGTATCAGAGCAGAGCCACCGGTTAGAGAATGGGCAAGTTGTGATGAGACCCCTGCATGGGCCATGGGGATGCTGGCGGGCCCCTAAAGATGCTGACACCCCTCACCACCAGGCAGGTGCCAGGGATACTTCACTGGATGTCAGCCCTTGGGTGGTTAAGCGATAGGGCCAACACCGAGTGCCGCCGGGGGCCGGAGCGACTTCTCACCTGTGCTGGAGGGAGTGTAAGGTGCTGCGGCTGCTCTAGAAACAGTGCGTCCGTCTCCTCTAAAAGTGCACAGGCCGCTACCATTTACCAAGATAAAGATGCAGGCGTGTGCAGGCCTGTGCGTGGGGTCACAGCAGCTGTGTATGTAGTTGCCTCAGGCCGGGCTGGTGGCTGAGCGAACCTTGGTGCGTCTCTCCCAGAACATGCCGCTCAGCAATAAAAGGAGCCATCCCGAGTGACAAGAGCCCATTGCATAGGCTACCTACTGCCTGAGTCCATTTCTAGAACATTCTTGAAATGAGTCACGGAGGACAGATGGTGCCTTGATCCGTTGCTCACACAGAAGTGTGCACGTGGCCAAGTTGCAGAGTTGGGCACATGTGTGCACCCACATGTACATGGCACACTCATGTGCGTGCACACAGATATGTGCACACAGCATGCCACATATGCTGTGCACATACATGTACACATGGCAACACACACATGACTATACACATGTAGCAGCTGGCAGGAGCCAGACTGCACCAAGGCCAGTTGTCTGCTGCGTGTGCGCTGGGCCTGGGCTCTGAGCGCTGGTTCTGCAGCTTCCTGTGAGTCTCTTTCCAAATAGAAGGTTAAAGAACGAGCCCTGCATTCTGAGAGCAGGCAGGAGGCAGTGCCTACGCTCACCGAGACCATCTGCACTGTGCTCTGGCCCCTGCAGCCGTCCCTACCATCACCCAACGGGGGGGCCACTTCGAAGACTGCCCCTCCTGGCATCTGACTGCAAACTTTGGTTTTGCAAGTGCATGTTTTCCTGCAGGCGTGTCTCTGAGACACCAGCCCCTTCATAGGACCTAGCCGCTGTCACATGTTGTCAACGCTTACCTGCCATAACTGTCTCCCCAGGCTCGCCCGGTGGATTTTCTCCTGGGGGCTTTGTTCCCAAAACAGCCCCCCCTCCCAAGGGTGGCAGCTCCTGGCAGACGAGTCGGCCCCCAGGCCAGGGCGCCCCGTGGGCCTCCCAGACCAAGCCATCCCCCAAAACCTGTGCACAGCCAAGGCCTAGCTATGCCGCGAACTTCAGCGTGATTGGTGGGCGAGAGGAGCGGGGTGTCCGCGTCCCCAGCTTTGGTGAGTCTGCCCTCTTTCCTTTGGGTATGATTTTCTTCTGGGACAGATACTCAATGAGACCCAGAGCCCCTCACCTGTAGGAGCCATGTTTGGGTTTGGGTTTAGGTGGAAGGACATGGTTCAGATTGATGTCTGTGGGTGTCCATCCCTCTCATCCTAGACCAGCATGGTCCAGGTGGCCAGGCCCACGCTGTCTGGGAACTGGCTTGGCCTCCTCAGCTGCCTGGGCAGCTGAACAGTCAGCCCAGGCCTGGCTGTGTTGTCACGGGAATGGCATGTCCCACATCAGCCCAGGAGAGGTAATAGACTGCCCTGCGCTCAGGAGCGTTTGTGCCCAGGGAACTCTCCTGGGTGTTTCCCACTTCTCTCCACTGTCCTTCAGTCCCAAAGGGTCATTGAGCTAGAAACTGTCCCAGGGGTGGGCAGAGGTCAGCGGTGCCCCGAGGTCTCAGAAGACTCTCCGTCCCTCTCCAGGTCAAAAGCTGCGGGTGTCTGAGAACCATTTTGAAGACCTGCTGCCCAACCAAGGCTTCTCCTCCAAGGCTGGCAAGAAGGGACCGAGGACCATCGCCGAGATGAGGAGGCAGGACCAGGCAAGGGACACGGACCCGCTGAAGCTGAAGGTGCGCTGCAGCCCAGGGTGCAGAAGGGACGGGTGCTCCCTGAGTCACCTTTTCACCCCAGGGCATCACAGCAAGTGTGGCCCCCTCGGTCCTGGGGTTCACCGAGGCTCCCCCGGTGCTGTAGATGGACCTGGCCCTCCCCCTGAGTGGACAGCAGCCCCCCGGGGCCCCTGACTCACAGTGAGAGGGTTTGTGCGGCTCGTCCTCTGAGGCTCGCTGGTCTTCTGAGAGCGTTTCAGTGGATGCAGACTGTCCGATCAGCAGCATCTCCACGGTGGCTGTCTCCGTGCTGCTGGATGCAGGCGGCTTGTGTGTCCCCATTTGTTATTAGGCGTTCTCTTCTGGAAATCTAACCATACCTAATCTCTGTCAGGACAAAGTGCCCCTGAGGCCCCCAACCCCCAGGAGAGCAGCTTAGGGCACTGGGGGTGACGGGACATCTGTGTGTCCAGCACTCTGGTCTTTGCTGTGCAGGGCTGGCCATGAGCCCAGCATTCTGGAGTGGCCAGGTGTCTTCACTGGTAGGTTGGTGCTAATGCGGGCACTGTGCCCTTGGGATCATCTTGACAGGCCACCCTGGAGCCCAGTCTGTCACCTTACTGGACACTAGAGCTCTGGGCCAGGCAGGCCAGGCCACGAGGGCAGGTCTGCTGAATTCCCCCGACAGGAGTCACCAGGTTCCTTGTGCTGTCTGGTCCTGTGCGGTGTCTGGCCAGACCTGGGAGCAGTGTTCCCTAGTGGGGTCGTCACAGAAAATGGGGTGGTGGGCCCCACGTCTTGTGGCCAACAGCATGTGAAGTGTCATGACCACTGGCCACATGTCAGGGAGGGACTGGGCCAGGACTGCTCTGCAGCCCCCGTGTCTCCCGCAGCTCCTGGACTGGACCGAGGGCAAGGAGAGGAATATCCGTGCCCTGCTGTCCACGCTCCACACCGTGCTCTGGGATGGCGAGAGCCGCTGGACACCAGTGGGCATGGCCGACCTGGTGACACCCGAACAGGTGAAGAAGCAGTATCGACGGGCTGTGCTGGTGGTCCACCCCGACAAGGTGAGCACCCGGGGGGTCCACCTGAGGGGAGGGGAGCTCCAGGCGGAGTTCCCAGGAGCAGGCGTGAGGCTACCCTCACCTCTCGTCCCGCAGGCCACAGGGCGGCCCCACGAGCAGCAGGCCAGGCTGATCTTCATGGAGCTGAGCGACGCCTGGTCTGAGTTTGAGAGCCAGGGCGCCCGGCCCCTCTTCTGAGCCCTTGAGGTCGCAGCTGTGCATGGACCACGAGTGGCCCCGCTGGACCGAGAGAGCCTCCTCCAGGGCCTCGGCAGCGTGGGCTCACACAGCTGCACCCTGATGCCCGCCTGCCACCCTGGGAGGATCCGGAGCCCATGCTGCCCGGCGAGGAGACAGCATTCCAGAGCCGCCTGGTTTTTTTCCTTTTTTCTTTCCCAAAGGAAAGTGTCGATTCACATTCCTCCCACAGTTGTCACAGTTTGTGATTTGTTTTGTTCAGTGGCCATCCCCTGGAGAGCGCGTCCCCTCTCAGGTGGAGTGCGCTACCCCGTCCTCTCCTGATCCCGCTCACGAACGTCCGTGTCCCAGGTGTGATCAGCCTGGGGGCCTCCTGTACATAATTAAACTATTTTCTGATGACGCTCATCTCTGCGGGTCTCCTGCCCCCGCTCCTGCCGTCGTCCGGCTGGTCTTGGCTCTGACCCAGAAGATGCAGCTTGGGGACCCACAGGGCAGCGTTGGGCTACTTGTCACTCTGTCCTGAGCCTCCTCGGGCGCCTGGTAGCCTGGGCTGGTCAGTCACGTGCAGGAAAAGGCAGGCGGTATGGGGGCTGAAGGGACACACTGCAGCCATGGGTCCTGGTTGGTCCAGGCCGTGGGTCCTGGGCATACTGTGGTCACTGCTCCTCCAGTGCAGGCCCCCTATGAGACTGCAGGGCCCTGTGTCCACCGGGTCCCCTTTGGGCAGGGCGTGCGGGGCTGTCAGGTGTCAGGGAATTCAGAACAGAGACCTAACTTTCTTTGGCAAAGGCCTGTTGGAGGAGTGCCAGCTGCCGAATCTTGTAAGCGGTGGTATGGCCAAGGAGGCTCGGGACAGCGCAGTCAGGACAGGACAGCAACATCAGAAATGACTTTACGAGCCTCCTATGGGTCTGTCCACAGGGCCAAGGGCTCATTTGACTCTGGCTGCTGGGCACTGCTTCTCGGGCCCTGGAAATTCGGCCTGTCCAGGAGCTCCTAGTGGTGGCAGCAGGTGTGGTCAGGCCCTGCCACAGCTCCCCAGGTCAGCAGGCCTGTGATAGCCATGTCCTCATCACCCAGACGTGCTCCTGAGTCAGGTGTGGTGCACGTGGAAGGTGGAGGTCCTGGGGCACTTGTGGGATACCAGCAGCCTCCACCCACCTCTCATCTCCAGGGGACCCGAGTGCTTTGTCACTAACTTTGGTCTGCAGGAGCTGGGCACTCCTGTCCTCAGAGGTCCCACCTTGGGTGTACCTCTCACCTCGGGAGCATCGAGTGGTTGTGAAAACCTAGCATGAAGCTCAGACCCTGCCTCCCGCTGCTGGCAACTGAGTTGGCCTGAGACCCGCAAGCACTGTGGCCAGGACCTGTGGGCTGTGATGGAGCAGGAAGCCTGTGCCTCCGGAAGGTTCAAGTACAGAAAAGCTCTAGCCTTTGTCCTGAGCTCCCACAGGGCGTCTTGTGCCAGCAGGACCTCACCTGGGGCCAGGACCCCTGCCCACCACCCTGCCCAGGAGGCAGGACAGAGGATGTCAAGGCTGCTGCTGGGGGAGGAAAGAGCACTAAGCCTCTTTCCACCTCGGCTCCAACCCTCCGACCCAGGGCAGTGCTGAATAATGCAGCTGAGTGTCAGTGGTGCATTCTCACAAAATAAGGACCACATTTGTTATGGATCTGCTATTTTTAGCTTTTAGTTTTTCTAAAAAGTAATGAGCAGTCTAGATAGGAACAGAAATTTCACATGAAGGTCGCTGGCTGGGGCCTGCAGAGCCCAGCCCCAGCCCCAGCCCCAGCCCCCTTAGGTCCCCGTGTGGCTCTGTACCTCCCGCCTGTGCTGACTCACCGCCCTAGGTGATGGTCTGAGACCCCCTGCAGGGGCTGCTCCCAGGACCAGGCTTGTCCACTCCAGGGCGTGAACAGGCCATGGACAGGCTGGCTACACGCAGTGCCCTGTCCCTACTCCAGCTCTAAGGGATAAGTCTCTGGCTGAATCGCCAAGGCTGGGGGCTCTCACCCAGCTCTTCAGGGCCCTGCTCCTGAGGCAGAGGTTCTGGACTGGAAATGGGCTCAGATAAGGGACCTGGTGCAGGACAAGCCTCCGTGCTGCCTGCCCATGTATTACTCCAGGCCCCTTTTGTCCAGCACCCCCTGGCCTGCAGAGGACCCACACACACATCCCACAGTGGACACCTGATGGCCTTGGTGATCTGTGTCCTCTGGCACCAAACAGTATGTGCCCCCACACCCACCCGCCTCCTGGCGCACCCACCTCCCTCGCCTCCTTCCCCCTTCCCTGGGGGTCTTGGACAGTACGTTAGACCCTGTGTCTTGAGAAAATGTCCCCAAGTTAGTGAATTTTTGCTTTGCCTCGAGGCATCTTGATGACAGGTCCTCCTTCCTGCGGCACCAGCTAGTAATTCCTGCAACTCTTGGGGATGGGCCCTCCTCAGTCCCCCTGCAGCCCCGGCCCTAGAAAGCTCTGCAGCCCCTACCACAGGGCCCCTCGGGCAGCCTGGCCTCAGGAGGAGAGAGCCCCCTGCTCTGGCTCCAGCACAGAGCAGCCTTGAGTCCCGCCCCCGCCTAATTCCAGCAAATGCCCGCCCGTGGGAGATAGGTCCTCGTATGCTCAGTGAGTGCCTCCTGGGCACCCACCGTACAGGCCCAGGGGGACTGCGGGGCCTCTCCACGGGGCAGGGACCAGCTCAGCCTGCACCTCCATCAGCCTACTGCCTGCCCTGGTTGCTCTTCCTGAGGCCTCCGAAGCAAACTGCTACTCCAGGCTCTGCCTTGGGGGACCCGGGTTAGACTTGGGTTCCTTGCTCTGCGGTGGGCCCCACATCCCTGCCGGACTCTCGCAGCTCACCACACAGGACTCCAGATGGCCTGGACTGGCTCTGGTCCTTCTAGAGACCCACCAGGACCTCGTCCCACCTTGCAGTTGGGTCTGGCTCTGTGTCCCCAGTTCTGTGGACGATCCTGGGAGCTCCCCCCACCCTCCACCTGAGACCACAGGGTTGGGACTCCTGGGCCCAAGAGGGACCCTCTATCATGTCATTGGAACCAGCCTTGACCCCAGCTGCCATGGGGAGACCCTAGAGGGGCTTTACTCTGAGATCCCGCCCCCAGGTGCCTGGGCCACTGCCAGGAGCCACCCTCCAGTCCAGCCTGAGCCTGCCCAGCTCTGATAATGGCTGCCGAGCCTCGGTGCCACAAGGAATCCTCTTCTCCCCACAGTGTCAGCTTCGGGGGTACAGGGGCACTATGGCCACCAGGAGGGTGAGGGGCCCTGTTTGCACTCCACCCTGTGGGCCCCATGCTCAGGCCAGGAGCCCCTCCTAGGTGGAGAGTAAGGCCTGGACACGATATCTCATCAGAAGGAAATCCTGCCGCTCGCCTGGGGGAGGGGATACCCAGCAGTTCCCTGCAGCTGCCCTGTGCAAGGCCCTTCCTTGGCCAGGCATGGGGGCAGGGCCCACTGGCAGGACAGGAACCCCCAGAGGGAGCCAGAGGCCCCCTCAGCTGTGCAGACACCCTGAGGACTCCGCTGGCCTGCAGTCGGTGTAACTGGTTCTCACACCCCTGATTAAACCAGTTTTGTTTTATTGCACGGATTGTAGTGGCAGGGACCAGGGTTTCCCCAGGGTAGATGGTGGCTCTTCAGAGCCGGAGAGGAACAATCTAGTGTCCAGGCCAAGTGCACCAATGGCCCAGGAGAGGGGTGCCTGGCATCTGCCCTCAGAGGGAGAAAGGAGTACAGAGGAGAGGTTGGAACTCTCAGGGGCAGGCGGCTTCCAAGGCTTCTCCAAGTGGCACGTGTATGAGGACCTGGTTCCTCCTCTCAGCTGTTTGGACAAACATGTTCTGTTCATGGTGGGGCCTGGGGGGGAGGGTGCTGGGCTGTTTTCCCTGTGGCTGCTGGAATGCTGCCGTGGACCTGGGTGCTTACACCCGTTTCCAGTTCCCTGGGCAAGTCCCTGGGCACCTTGTGGAGATGCAGGCGACCTACCCTTTTGTTCACTCACCGTCTGTCCACACCATCCCCCGGCAGAGCAACAAGTGGTCACATGGGCCCTGGGTCCTGTCCTGCAGGGATAGGGTGGCCTTGGGGGGGGTGAGCTGGGGGCTCTGCACCTTGAAAACAGAGCCTGGGTATCGGGTGTTCCTCCCAGATTGTGTACCCCACACAGTCTGGCTGGTAAGCACTCACCTCCACAAAGGGATCCACAGAGCAGGGGGACTCTGGCGCCCCCCCACACACACATGCACCCTTCACCAGTGTGGCCAGGGGGGCATGCCCCCAGCTCTTCCCTGCTGCCCCCCAGCTCTTCCCCACTGCCTGACCCAGACACTGCAAGGGACTTACCAAGGCCTTTCACCAGGAAGCCCCCAACTTCAGGCAAGCCTGGGGCCTGGGGTCTCTGCCTCTGTCCAGGCCCCTCAGACCAGGCGGGTCCTGCAGCAGTGGCCCAGCCTCAGTCCCAGGGCCCCAGACCAACTTCCAGCCATAAACACATGGCCTGGGCTGCCTGGGCATCTGAGCTAGAGTGGCCCCTTCTCTGGCCCCAGCCTTGCTCCCAAGGATAAGCACCCATAGGGTGAGCCCCAGACTGCCTGGTCTGCCTCTGCAGCCTCCATTCCCCTGTCCACCCTGTGCCCTACCTGTCCATCTCAGTTTTCCCCACCTGTCCATCTTTGCCCCCCACCTGTCCACCTGCCCTCATTTGTCCATTGGTAACCCTTTTCCAACCAGAGCAGGAGCAAAGGCTGAGGAAGGCCCTGTGGTGGGGAGCGGGTGCAGAGAGGGG